TATTTGGAAATCTGTCCCGCTTGACCCAAGAATCTGTCCCGCTTGAACTTTTGACGTCATACAACAATCACTTTTCCATTGTGGCGTCAGATATTTTCTATTATGACGTCAAAATTATACGGGAACTTTTGTGATGTCCAGTAATGGCGGACAAATAGCGATAAGGTGTATTCACGAATACGCGTAGCGCATGAGTTAATTATCAGTGTTGTTCGGTCACCAGTTGAATATTATACAATTACGGTCTTTTGATGAGGTAAATATGTGGTTTTATTGACTTTTGAAAAACTGATATTCACTGAGGCCAACACTGAGGCCAACGGCCGAAGTGAATATCAGTTTTTCAAAAGTCAATTAAACCACATATTTACCGAAACAAAAGACAGTAATTGTTTTATTCCATATTCCGAGAGAGTACAGATAGAAATGTATGTATTGACAATTATTTACTAAAACCAATTGTACATCAAACGATTTTAACATAATTATACACGTAAAAGCACGCGACGTTTTGCGCGGTGAATATACTTTTCCGCAGGTGAATATGCTTATTTATTCAAAATCCCATTCATATAGAAAAACCTACTAAAGTTCTATCAATATGGAATAATTTTCGATATTTGAATTCTTTGATTAGTTATTCTTTTTATTACATTGGCAAATGTTTTTTTTTATGAAATTAAAGTAGGAACTATATCTCTTTCTACGCATTCACAATTTGTTTTGATCCAACGTTATCGACGTTTTGACAACGCCTATTGTTGTATGACGCCAGAGGAGTGAAATAACCTCGTTTATTTCACATGTGAAATTATCGGTTTTTATTTCACTGGGAAATCAATGTAATTCATGGCAATCAATGTAATATTATCATTTCGACGTTTGGAGGTAAAATTTCACCTATATAGAAATAAGGTGATGTGGTATGATTGCCAATGAGACAACTATTCACCTGAGTTCAAATCAAGTGGATGTAAGCAATTATAGGCAACCGTACGGCCTTCAACAATGAGAAAAACCCATACCGTATGGTCGGTTATAAAAGGCCCCGACATAAAAAATATGAAACAATTCAATTGAGAAACTAACAGCCTAATCTATATAAATGTGCATTTTTAAATAAATAAATAAATAATTATAGAATAACTAATCGAAGAATTCAAATAGAGAAAAATATTCAACGAGTGACCGAACATTAATTGACGAATGCGCGTAGCGCATGAGTTAATTACCAGTGTTGTTCGGTCACTCGTTGAATATTTTTCTCTATTTGAATTCTTTGATTAGTTATTCTTTTTATTACATTGGCAAATGGCTTTTTTTTTATGAAATTAAAGTAGAAAATGTAAGGAACTATATCTTTTTCTACGCATTCAAAATTTGTTATGATCCGACGTTATCGACGTCTTGACAACGCTTATTGTTGTATGACGTCAGATTAGTGAAATAACCACGTTTATTTCACATGTGAAATTATCGGTTTTTATTTCACTGGGAAATCAATGTAATTCATTGCAACCAATGTAATAACACACCTTATCGCTATTTGGAAATCTGTCCCGCTTGAACTTTTGACGTCATACAACAATCACTTTTCCATCGCGGCGTCAAAATTATACGGGAACTTTTGTGATGTCCAGTAATGGCGGACAAATTTATGTAAAAAAAGTCAGGGTTAACTAATAAAAAAGGCAGGACCGAATAGAGTGAAGAAAAAAAAACAGGCAGGACAGAGATTACAACTACAAAAAAATGCAGGACAAAATTTTTCATCCTAGCCCCCCCCCCCCCCCCCCCCCATATATATATAAAATGGTAGCTCCCTTATATGTTTTCTTATTATTCATTTCATTTTCTTTAATTTAACATTAAAAAATTCATTTCTCTAACTTTAGTTTACCTCAACTAAATGTTATGAAACTTATACACAAGGCTTATTACATTCACTTGAAACAGGAGAAGAATTTTGTAAAACTTAATGAACTACAACAGATGCCAGATGATTAAAAAAAATCAATTGACTTACATCCACTTCATTTGAACTTTGGTGGATAGTTGTCTCATTGGCAATCATACATCTCCTTATTTTCATATTAACCAGTAGAACTTAGAATTAACCAGTGAACAATAAAATAAAATCAGGTCAGGATCAGGGACAGATCGATATGTGCACCTTATAATCATTCCATAGACCTATTGCTTATAGAATCTGAATAAAATGCTTCACCAAGCGCAGCCTGATACGAGGTCAGTTGAACAGTTGGGGCAAGTCTAGACACAATTTTTGACATAATCAAGGTTTCTGACGCAAAATAAATGTGGTCAAAGATCGTAAAAATTTGAAATGGGACATTTAATTTACCTAGTATGGTCTGATATCCCAAAACTAACAACATGGTTAGATTCAGCATATAAAAAAAACACCAAAAATTTAATTTTAGTTGAAATCAAACAAAGTTTAATTTTGGACCCTTCAAACCTTAATATGGACTAATTTGAAAACAGGGCCCAAAATAAAAAAATAATATTACTGTGCTATTGCGCTATACTGTGCTGTTGCACAATACTTAGTTAATCTGTTATATATATAATAATTTACACACCCTGTTTGGTGTGAATCTCCTGCCATATCAGTATTTGTTACTTTTATATATAAATCAGAAATAATCAATGTAAAAATGGAAAAATTTTTGGGGAAAAAAAATAGAAAAAAATTATGAAAAAAAATCCCCCAAAAAATTTGTCCCCCCCCTCAATTTTTTTTTTGAAAAATCTTAAAAGAAAAAAGTATGAACCCACCAAAAAAATTGAAAAAAAAATTGAAAAAATTGGAAATTTCAAAATTTTGAAGAAAAGAATATGAACCCCCCAAAAAAAATAGAAAAAAAATCCCCCATTTTTTTTTGAAATTTTGAAGATTATTTTCTTTTCAGGAAATGTACAATTTCAGAGAGTTCCATAAACTTTAACACTTAACTTCAAGTTATTGTCTGGAAACTAGAAAAATGCTTGTTTTTTTTGGTCCCTTTTTTGCCTCTAATTCCTGAATGTTTGGTACTATAACCCTCAAAATCAATCCCAACCTTCCTTTTATGGTATTGAACCTTCTGGTTAAATTTCATAGAGATCCATTCACTTGAACTAAAATTATTGTACGGAAACCAAATAGGTCTGCTGACGACTCCGACTCTGACATGATAGCATTATACGAACAGTATTTATCTTGCGGTCTTATAAAAAAGACAGCACTGTAGAAACTCAACTTTGACCAATGAACCATAAAAATGAGGTCAAAGTCAGAAGATACTTGCAATCATTCTATACATATAGTTGACATATTGCTTATAGAATACCTTTTCCATGAAATGAGGTTGAAGTCAGGTGAATCCTGTCTGATGGTCATGTAGAGCTTGCAAAGATCCCATATACCAAATATTACTATTCTATTACTTATGAGGAATTCACCATCCATGTTTCTTAAGCAGTTACTGAACATTTAAAATGAGATTAAGGACAAATGGACATATGACTGACATTTTTTAACATAAGGCATCTATCTACTTTCTGATAACAAGAGTGCACACGCTGAAATGTCGCGCCTTCTTTACTAATCATTGATATTATATTGATAGTCCTAAATATAAAGCTTTATTACAACTGTCACATAAACTTAACATTATCCAAGTAAACTAAACATTGACCAATGAACCATGAAAATGAGGTCAAGGTCAGATGAACCATGCTAGGCAGGCATGTACAGCTAACAATTCTTCCATACAACAAATATAGTTGACCTATTGCTTATAGTTTAAGAAAAACAGACCAAACCACAAAAACTTAACACTGAGCAATGAACCTTGAAAATGAGGTCAAGGTCAACTAAAACCTGAGTGACTGACATATAGATCATAAAATATTTCCATACACCAAATATAGTTGAACTATTGCATATAGTATTAGAAAAAGACCAAAACTCAAAAACTTAATTTTGACCACTGAACCATGAAAATAAGGTCAAGGTCAGATGACACCTGCCAGCTAGACATGTACACCTTACAATCATTCCATACACCAAATAAAGTAGACCTATTGCATACAGTATAAGAAAAACAGACCAAAACACAAAAACTTAACACAACCACTGAACCATGAAAATGAGTTCAAGGTCAGATGACACCTGCGAGTTGGACATGTACACATTACAGTCCTTACATACACCGAATATACTAGACCTATTGCTTATAGTATCTGAGATATGGACTTGACCACCAAAACTTAACCTTGTTCACTGATCCATGAAATGAGGTCAAGGTCAAGTGAAAACTGTCTGACGGGCATGAGGACCTTGCAAGGTACGCACATACCAAATATAGTTATCCTATTACTTATAATAAGAGAGAATTTAACATTGCAAAAAATCTTAACTTTTTTTTCAAGTAGTCACTGAACCATGAAAATGAGGTCAAGGACATTGGACATGTGACTGACGGAAACTTCGTAACATGAGGCATCCATATACAAAGTATGAAGCATCCAGATCTTCCACCTTCTAAAATATAAAGCAATAAGGAAGTTAGCTAACGCCGCTGCCGGATCACTATCCCTATGTCCAGCTTTCTGTGACAAAAGTCGCAGGCTCGACAAAAACTGCTTTATACAAACAGTTAACACTGCCCCCTGATTGAGATACCAATATCTGGCATTCTGTGTGACTCTTGTCCTAGGCAAGACTAAAATAGGTATGTTTAAAAGACCCCTTTCAGAAATCTATCATGCACTATTTTGGTTCATGAACATCTTATCATGGTGTTTTACTGTTTTACTTTTAAAGATTTCAAATGGTTTAGCACTTACAAGTTTATTATAATATAATGACTATATTACAGGTTTCACAAACCAATTATCTTCCCTTTTGTACTTAAGGCGGGTTGCACTTACAGATCTTTAGACAGACAGGCGTGACAAACACTGGTTTGTGACAGAATAAAACGACATAAAAATATCAGCATGAAATAATTTATTAAGATAATTACCACATAATAAATATAAAACAGATCATGGAAAGAAACAACCATTTAGTTTGTATAAATGACATATACAATCAATAAAAATAAATATGGACGGAAATTAATATAAAATGAATACTGCTAATAAATGATACATACAAAAAAGATTGTAACAGTGTTTTCCTATAGAAATTTGTGAGAGAACAAGACAAAGGTACAATTTTTCTCAAAGAAGTTTGTAAAGTAACATTTATATGAATGAACTAAATGGAAATAATTGCAACTAAGGCCACATTTACACTGCCTAAGTGAAACATGTTTTGTGAACATAAGATTTATTGTTTACATCTTTTTGAAATAAAACTAATCAATTGTTTGACATGCAATCAATTCTTTATTCAAAAGTATTTTAACATCTTTAAGAATTTTCAAAATTAACTCATTGATACTTTATAATTAATGTTCATAAACTTAATTAAACATTGTGAATGTGGCCTCACCCTTGAATAGCACACAAAAATTTGAATGTTACTTTTTCTGTTTAAGAAATTCTTCCGAATATATTGAAAACATTTTATACCTTACAACTGACTCAAACATAAATGTATTAAATGTCTCAAAACATAAATGTAATATAGGTTTTTAAAAAATACAAGGAAGCTGTCATGTTTTTTGTAATCATAAATAGTGAATTTGGTAAGATTCGGTGCAGCATTTGAAACTTTCGTTGCTTTAATTTTTTTGGCTACTGAAAAAGACCCACTATATCTATATCATTTTACTTGTAAATTATTAAGTTCAAAATTTAGTGAGTTGAAAGGTAATTAATACTACATGAGATGTGTCACAAATCAATGTCAGTTTCTAGCACTATGTTCATAGTTTTGTTCTGTTTGCTTTCGTATGAGAAATACACATATTGGGCACATCAACTGCGTGACAATGATAGATTACTAACTCAGACAATAACTGTGTGAATATCATTAACACTCTTCTTCCAAAATTCACATGTATACACAACATTAAATATCACAGATAGAAATATGTTATTTATGTACATAACTCCCTGTTGTGAACAATATATCTTCATGAAAAGTCTTTTTTTTTATGTAATTATGGTAAATTTTGTATGAAATGAAAGTTTACACAGAAATTATCCTTAGTGACAGACTTTCAGGGAAACCAAACAATTTCACAACAAAACAATACTTACAATATTTAGTACATGTACAAACAAACCCTTTAACAGACTTTATCATTAAACATTAGAGTTTACAATATGTTACAATGGTTGATGTTGCCACTGACTGAGTAGTAGTGATACTTTTTTTATATTTGAGACTTTTGTAGCAAGCCAGACAAAAATTACAGCATAATAAATAAAATCACAGAATTTCTACAACTTATATATTACATACTTAAACTTTGAACATTGTAAAATCAAATTGGAAAAAGTTTGCATGAAGTTGTGTGTGCAGAAAGACATGGTATCAGCTGTAAATAGAGGTCACATGGCAACCAAACCTCATGGTCACTTAGGAACCAGACCTCGTGACTGTGGAAATTTCTGTGACTGTTCATTCCTCTTTGATGATTTTGGTCTGCTGCTACAAAATATTCAAATTACATTTGTCAAGATCATGCATTGATAAAAGCAATCTGGAGGTCTTTCATGAAAGTTCCCTCAAATGTTCACCTGTCAGTGGTTTATTTAGTTGGTAATAAAAGTTATAAAAAAAACTGTTACCTGTAAAATCAAAATTAATCTGACATGAAACAGTTTAAGGTGACCATAAACTTTAGCCTGAAGAACTTTTTGCAAAGTTATCCTTTAATTACCTCTTATAGAAATTAAACAGAACAATTTAAAATATGAATACAATTCTTAAGTAAATCTTGTAATAATCTAATGTCCTTTGGTAAAGATAATGTGGTAACATAAAAATGTCTTTTCTGAAGTCATATCTGGTTTGATGTATAGGTATCTGTATAGTAATATAACCATGGGAGATCACTCATGAAAAAACAATTATTTCAGTGATTTTGATCTTATATAAAACAAAACAAAAAAGAAATGTTTTATAGAAAATTTCCAGTCATGTTTAGAATATTAAAACAAATCTGCTATTGAAGTCTTTAAAAATTAGTTTTGAAAGAAACAGACTGAAATATAAACAAAAGGTAACAAATAATGGATTTACATTTTGTCTTTCAAGCATTTATTACTTTTGCACTTCCATATACACTGATTTAAAAAAAAAAATCATAAAACTTGAAATCTAAAACATTTTATACCACCAGCTTTAGCATAATAATCTTTATTTGTAATTACTACAAAAAAGGTGACCTCTCATTTTGATGTACTGAATTTCTTACCACAAAAATTAAACTTGTTTAAATGTAGATTCTATGACTACTTTAAATTCAAAAGAATAATTCTTGAGAAACAAATACATATCTTTCTAATCAATGATTCAAAATGTAACAGTGTTCTTATATTTGACAAATATATTACACAAATATTCATGGCAATATAAACCTTGAACTATACTTTCTTCAAATACTTTCAGATTTTTAGTAATAACTAAAAGAAGATATAGGGAATAATGATTGTGTTGCATTTACTTGCTGATACATTTGTCAAATAATTTATTTCTTGTGACATACAGTTACTTCCATTTTCTATTTAAGTTTTTGAAGTCTAGATAACAATTTTGCCAGTTTACATGTTCTGCTTCCAGATTTTTCCCAACACCATTTAGTATACGTTATGTTTAAAGTCTTGAAAAAAGTAATAGTATTTTTTCTGTTTCACCGGACATTTAAAAATGGACAAAACAATGTGAACTCACAATCAGAAAACCGATTTTTTCCCTTGAAACTATTACCACTAATAGCAATTTTGAAATAGGTAAAATAGATTATCTCCCCTTTGAATAGTATGACCAAGATTATATTCCTTTCTGCACATTCTCAGGTAGTGTTCTTCAAATGAGTATAATTGAGTTTATTCTACATTGGCTAGAGGTTTAGGGGAGGGTTGAGATCTCACAAAACATGTTTAACCCCGCCGCATTTTTGCACCTGTTCCAAGTCAGGAACCTCTGGCCTTTGTTAGTCTTGTATGTTTTTTTAATTTTGGTTCATTTATTATTATTATGGCGGCACGGATAGACAGGGTTTTTCTCTTTCTGGTTATCTTACAAGCAAAACTCCATATCAAAAGTAGATATTTAAGAACAAAAAATTACTTACTTTTTACGAGGCTTGGCTTTCATACTAAATACATTTGGAGTTCTGAAACATACAAAAAGTCAAAATTTCAGGGAGCAGTAAATTTAAAAACAACATTTTTGTTTTTCATAATGAGTAGTATTTTTTTAATCTACAGACTGTATCATTTACATGTTTCATTATCGACTATCTTCTAACATCAGCTATTGAAATCGTAATCTGTACTAAAATCACTAGATTAATTAGGTATGTCATTCAATCATGCATTCAGGTACAATAAGTACTTTATCTTTGATATGTTTAGAGGATGACAAATCTCATCAGGTTTAAAGGGGCAAAATCACTACATCAGTTTGAAGAGGCAGAAGCAGCATATAGATTTGAAGGGCACAAATGAGAACCAGGAATTTCTTCTTCCAATCATGCCTTTAAAATGACTGCAGCAAAATGAGGAATTTGGAAAAAAGATTCTTCCACAAATTCCTTCTGTCCAAGTATGGTTTGCTCTAATATAGAAAAATAAGAAAAAGATGAAGTTCTTATTTGAATAGTTTTTAATGGGAATGGATTTGGCACCTTCCTGCTACATATGCATTCAATCAGCACAAAATGAGGTATTTGCATAGAGGTTCTCCCAATCATCTTTCTTAAAAAGTTTGAAGAGTTTATTTTGATATAATTTCATAAAGAAATTTAAAAATAGAACAATTAGAATAAGGAATTGTTCCTTGCAGACATGTTTTTTCACCAGACTGAAATAAGGAAAAAAGATATACAAGTTTTCCCATGGGCCTATCAAACACTTTTCCTTGTCAAGTTTGGTACACATTTGCCATGAAAGTTTCATGGTAATGTAAACCTAATCAGCCTCACTTATATTATGCACAGCATCTGAACAGCATGAAAAGAGGTCAATTTGAAGAAAGTCTCCAACGCCTTGTAGTTTAAAAGGAATAAAATTTGACCAATCAAGCTGTTGTCCAGTTTTCTCCAAATTGAAACAAAATGACAATTTATACCTGATTCTATTCTTGTTTTGTTAATTCTGGCTTACTAGTTGCGGAGTTAATACAAATATAAAATGATTGAAGAAAAAGAATTTATTTGCATATCATGACAAAAATTGCACATGAATAGTACCCACCCTCCTTCAATATCTATATCCTCTTCGTCCTGTAGAGCTGCATCTAGTGCTGCTTGAATACGTGGCGCCACCTGTGGCAGGTCATAATCCCGTGTAGTTCTGTTAGGCATGTCTAACTCGACCATCATTATATTCTCCCCCTATAATACATAATAGTTATATGTCTAATTCGACCATCATCATATTCTCCCCCTATAATACATTATAGTTATATGTCTAATTCGACCATCATTATATTCTCCCCCTATAATACATAATAATTAATTCTTCCTTATTGATGTTCAATGAGTACTTTTTCACATTAGATGTAATACAGCTGTTACTTTTTCATTACACATGAAACTCATATAGGAGAGAACATTTTTGATTCAAGAAAACCTTTTTATTTTGTATTTGATTAATTTCTTTTCCCATTATAAATTTGTCAAAATAATGGCTTAAAGTTCTGAATTTTGGCATCCTTTTACTTTAGACATTTGTAAAAAATATCTTGGGTAATGCTGTTGTTCATATCTAAATATCAATGACAAGATCTCAAAAAAACAAGCATTCTGAGAGTATGGCAATACATAGTCCCCTATCGGTTAAAAATTAATTGTACTGGAAAATGCTTACTTGATCTATAACTTGTCATGGTGTAAACTATATAACAAATATCAAGTCAATATCTTCAAGCATGACAAAAAAAAGTGCGGAAAACTGATTATTTGAGTGAATTTTCAAAGTCCAAGGACCATAACTCTGCACAAAATCATCAGACCGGAACAAAATTCGAACTTGATCTGTAACTTGTCATGATAAAACAATGTACCAATTATTAAATCAATATCTTCAAGAATGACGACGCCGCCAACGACGACGCAGACGCAGACGCAGACGTCATACCAATATACGACCGCAAAATTTAAATTTGAAAACAATATTGAAAAAATTATAATAATATTCAAATTTATTAATAAGCATGATGGTGTTGTTTTATTTAGTGTGTTTTGCGATATGTAAATTGTAGTTGTTTTTTACCTGGTTGTCTCCCCTTTTTTCAGCATAATTTTTCTTCTCTTCACCTCTTTGTATTGTATGTTTGTAAGTTAGTTCTACTATATAATGTGATATGTAATGTTCTATCTATTCATGTGACTATCTCTTTCAATGAAAAACAAACAGAACCCAAGTACAACCACATTAAAAGATAAAAGAGGGTTAATATTTCTTTAGTTCTATTCTTTATATTCTATGCAGAAGGACAGATCAGAAATATATATGCACTGCATTCTAACATCTATTGAGTGATAAGGTCTATAAAATTTTCCTTTTAATGGTAAAAATCCAGCCCTTTTTCCCTGCCTATTATCTTTGGTAAGACAGTTACATTGAAATACAAACCTTAAAACGTGGGTTACCTCCCATGGCAGATGCAACTTTAGCATAATCTGAAACAGGTCGTCTGTTACCTAAGGCTGACTGTGGTCTCTTTGCCATTGTTATTGTACTGTAAACATTGAACAATGAAATAATATTTGATAAAACTGAAGAGAAATATATCTATTATTCAAATGCATATGGAAGAACATCAGGGAATAAAGTTTGGTCTTAGAAAATTCAATTTGTTAGTTGATTTATTGTTAACTACAATGGGCCTTGTTGCAGAGAAGAAAAATATAGACTAAAGATTTACAAATAAAAAACTAAAGTAAACAAAATATTTTTAAACATGGTCATTTGTTGGACTAACCACTATTTTGATTTTTTTCACCCAGAGATGGTACATTTCTCAGTTTTCCTGGCAACATCATAAAACTTTAATTTTTATTGCCTTTTAAAGTGGTTTTTAGTGCTTTTGCTACAGTTTCAGTGCTTCATAGATGAAATCAATATCCTCTTGTTTTATATATGTTTGGTTTTTGATCTTTTTACAGAATGGAAACCTACTTTTTCTGAGCAAGTGGCCGAAGCTTCCATGTTTCTTCATCTTCATCAAAGAATGCTCTGTTATTCAGCTTCTGTTTTTCCTCTGCTGGAATGAAGTTCTCTATAATAAGCAGTCTGCAATATAAATCAAGGCATGTGATTGACATATATTTATTCACCAATTTCTGTTTTCCGTAAACTCAAACATTTATGAATGGATATATATTAGCAATTGTTAAACAATAGACACATATGAGAGATTCATTATTGCGATTCCAGGATATGCTGCATAAAATAAAGCTAAAAAATTGTAATTGCTAATTTTTAGTTTCTGTCACAATTTTCACATTTATAAAACATCACAAATATTTCTGAATAAACAGTATCATGCCTACAATCAGACCTAACATCACAAATATTTCTGACTTACCAGTATCATGCCTACAATCAGACCTAACATCACAAACATTTCTGACTAAACAGTATCATGCCTACAATCAGACCTAACATCACAAACATTTCTGAATAAAAAGTATCATGCCTACAATCAGATCCTAAATCACTATAACCCTTACAAGTGCAGTTATGTTACTGCCACAATCAAAGATCTTTTTTAGGCTCAAATTGTGAATAATAGATCCACAGCTAGATTAAGACAATTCTATGGAATTATGCTAGCTTTCATTCAAATCTAAAATCATGCTCCTGTTATTATACTGATGCTTTTTAAAAGAGTCTGTGGAATAACATATCCTACTTTAGTTTGAGGTCCCTGGTTAATTCTTCTTGAGTTTGTTCCAGTTCTTGTCTTTCTTTGGAATGTTCTTCCTGGAGATCTAATATTTCCTGTTTTGTTCCCTGCAGCTTTGCAAACAACTGAAATGAAAAGCAAAAGTTCTTTTTCCTTGTTAGAAAATTACACATTATATCACAAATACTTATTTAAAAAAAAGCTAGCAGTTATGATGGTATTCAAGTGACTTTTTCACTTATCAATTTTTTTTATTTTGGATGTTTCCAGAAAAAAAAAATGATTGCAAAATAGAGAAATATCCAGTGCCAAATTCAACATTTCTCATTTGCTATTTCTGATATTATTAAAAGATTACCCACTTGTCTAAAACGCCATTAAAAATACTAAAAAACTGATATAACAAAATTTTAAATGGTGACCAATACCGAATATGTCACACTCTAATTATGTTGACGTACTTTTTTAAGTTTCTTGGTTTTGACTTCAATTTCTTGCTGTAATGATTGGTAGGTTTCCTGCATCTCGACTGTAGATCCTTCTTTTTCATCCAATTTCTGTTGCATTTCTCTTTCCTTCCGTTTCTGATCTGCAATCTCCACTCGTCTTTGCTCCAGTGCCCTCTGCTGCTCATTTGTGTGATCCACAATATTTCGACCACCCATCAGCAATTTACTCTCCATAGCTTTTATTTTGGAAGACAATGCCTCTTTAGCTTCTTTTTCTCGTTGCAATTTTTCTTCTCTGTCTTTCATTTCCTGTAGCAATTTTTCTTTTTCCTGTAAAAAATTAAATTCATATTAACTTACATATATCTGTGATTTTGTGTAGTGACTACTACTTGCTGGTAAACCATTAACCCTGGACTACCTTGTGGGTTCAAACAAGGTGGGAAAACATCTATGGAGGATAAATGCTATTTTGTGGTTTAAGTATGGGATATAACAATGTTATTAATTGACAAGCATCATGTAGATGAGTATTAAACAATGATAATGGACTGTTATCTGTTTTAGCAGACTTTGTTGTCTTACCTCTATCACCATTGTCTGGTTATTGAGTATAGACTGTTTTTATCAGACCTTCTAGTCTTACCTCTATCACAATCGTCTGGTTATTGAGTATAGAATGTTTTTTTATCAGACATCCTCTTCTTACCTCTATCACCATTGTTTGGTTATTGAGTATAGACTGTTTTTATCAGACCTTCTCGTCTTACCTCTATTACCATTGTCTGGTTATTGAGTATAGAATGTTTTTATCAGACCTCGTCTTACCTCTATTACCATTGTCTGGTTATTGAGTATAAACTGTTTTTATCTGTCATTCTCGTCTTACCTCTATCACAAGCGTCTGGTCATTGAGTATAGAATGTTTTTTTATCAGACATTCTCTTCTTACCTCTATCACCATTGTCTGGTTATTGAGTATAGACTGTTTTTATCAGACCTTCTCGTCTTACCTCTATTACCATTGTCTGGTTATTGAGTATAGAATGTTTTTATCAGACCTCGTCTTACCTCTATCACCATTGTCTGGTTATTGAGTATAGACTGTTTTTATCTGTCATTCTCGTCTTACCTCTATCACCATCGTCTGGTTATTGAGTATAGACTGTTTTTTTATCAGACATTCTCTTCTTACCTCTATCACCATTGTCTGGTTATTGAGTATAGACTGTTTTTCTTGCTCCAACTTGGCTTTCTGTTCACTCATGTAGGCTTCAGCATCTTTTTCATTTCCTTCCCCTTCACTACCTTCACCCTCATCATCTTCTGAACCTTCAGATTCACTAACTATCTCACCTAAAAAAATATCAGTCACTGAAGTCATAAAAAAAAATATAACAGTTTCAAACCAACTGAAAACATTACTTTTATCATCATTGTTGGTATCCTTTTGTAACAAAACAGATGTAATGTAATCAGCATGAATACAATTTTTTTAAGTGAAATTATTTGTAGGAAAAAGACAATTTTGTATAATAAATATATGTGAGTTTTCCAAGGAAATGTTGATTGCTGTCCCCAAATAATATATGCAGAATGGCCAAGTCCACATTTTTTAAAAATTTTTGTTTTTTTAACCAACTTCAGATATTTTATTGCATCAATAGTTGTTAACAAAGCCCCTTAGTGTTACAACAATGGCATTAAGGTTCCTCCATGTATTGTTAATTACCTCCTCTCTGTATTGTTAATTACCAATAAAAACAGGGGATTTCATTAGCAAACTTCTTATACATCTATATATTTTAAGTGTTAGTTTCAATTTACAGAGTAATTCTACAAACATGCACATGTTTTTGGTGGCATATCAAAGATACAATGAAAAAGAAAATGGTTCTTCGACTGTCTTTTGTTTAGCTGTTAGTTTCTGATTTTAAAAACAAAAGTGGAAGCATGGTTTCTAAATCATGTAATCTTTTGGATCGAAAGGTCAGTAATATTGAATTTATAATGATTTCCTTTTAAATAATGTCTCATCATTCAATTACTTCAAACATATCAGGTATTTAAACAAAAATTAGGAAGGAGCAGTTCTTTATGAGCATTTTTCTTACTTTTATTTCCATAATTTTTTAATGTGAAATAAAGAGATAAAGAATCAAATTTCTAAGATTCTCTTATGAAATTTTCTCAAAAATGATTGTTTCCAATGATATAAAATTTGTGTTTCAATTTCATTTTTGTATGGGAAACCCAAATAAACTGCTTCACTGAGCGCAGCTAGATACGCCCACAGAGGTCCAACCCTGAACAGTTGGGGCAAAAATGGACACAATATTCAAGCTTGATTCAGGTCTGAATTTGGATTGTAATTAAATATTTGACATATTATAGGTTTCTGAATAAATGTAGTCAAAGAACTTGAAATTGGTTATATGAATTGAATTTATATTCAATTAAAGATTTCTTGCTGTTGTGCAATACTTAGTAAATCTGTTGCCAGACTATAAACAATTAAAGTTCAATTAATTCTCAATGTCATATTAGAAATTTATGAAAATAAAAAGGGAGCTTACATCAATAGATATAAACAATTCACCAAAGTTTCATGAGAATTGGTGACAGCATTTTTGAGTCCGAAAACTGGAAAATCACCCCTTTTTTTAATAAATAAAACCCCATAACTCAGAAATGTAAAGTGTAAAATTTATAAAATTCTAAGGGGAGCTTACATCAATACATACAAACAATTCACCAAAGTTTCATAAGAATTGCTTAAAGTATTTTTGAGTTTTTGTCCAAAAACCTGAAAATCCCCCCTTTTTTATGAATAAAACCCTGTAACTCGGAAACGTAAAATCTAAAATTTATAAAAATCAAAAGGGAGCTCATGTCAATAGATATAAACAATTCACCACAATTTCTTGCAAGTTGGTGAAAGCATTCCTGACTTATTGTCCGAAAACTGGAAAATCCCTCTTTTTTTAATGAATAAAACCCCATAACTCGGAAACGTAAAATCTAAATTTTATAAAAAACGAAAGGGAGCTCACGTCAATAGATATAAGCACTTCACCAAAGTTTTATGCAAATTAGTTAAAGCATTTTTCAGTTAATGTCCGACATATTGACGACGGACAGACGGACGGATGGAGAGACGGACGGACAGACAGACAACGGTATACCATAATACGTCCCGTAAACGGGCGTATAAAAACCATTTAGGTCAAAATAGCATGTGTATAACTTCATGTCCTGTAGAAGAAACTGTACAAGTAAATAGGAATTCTGTGAAGCTGTTTCAAATAGCTGTGAATTAACAATCTGATATAAGCAGAGATGATAAAGTCCATGTTTTGGTATGGGAAACCCCAAAATCAAAATAGCTGGTACACAATTTTATATTCAGTAGTTTGATAACATCAATAAAACACTCTCATTTTGTTGAATTTCTTGTATGAGAAACATCTTTATTAATATAACTTTGATTCCTGTTGAAGAAATATCATTTCTTACCATCTTCATTTCTTCTTACTCTCTTCTTCTTTTTCTTCTTCCTTGGTCCTCCTTTAGCATCTAAATGTGCCTTCAATCTGTAAATACAAACTTTCAAATGAGTTCTTTCTTTTTCAATACACCTTGTCACTATTTGGAAATCTGCGCTGCTTGAACTATTGACGTCATACAACAATCACTTTTCCATTGTGGCGAGAGTTAGTTTCTATTGTGATGTCAAAATTTTACGGGAACCTTTGTGATGTACAGTAATGGCGGACAAATAGCGATAAGATGTATTGATTGGTCACTAGTCTTGACAATATTGATGATTATTTGTAGTCGTTTGCTTAATTTCAAAAATACATGTTAATACCGTCAAGTATATTTAAACACTTTGTTGTCTCTTTGACTCATTCCCCATTTCCATTCTCAATTTTATTCAACACAATTACAATGGTCTATTTTTACCTCATGCTTTAGTTTTATGAAATCTGTCAGACTACTGTTACTATTATCTTTAATTCAAATAACAGATATGTAGAATCTTTAACTGGTTGAAATATAGGATTTTAGTTAAATTCCAGATCATTGTGAATTTTAACTGTATAAATGTATTTGTGAACAATTGACTTTTAAAGATGTCAAAAAGATCAAACACAGAAAATTGGAGAAAATGAACTTATTTTCTTCTTACACAACAAATTTGAAAATTATTAAGACAAAAAAGGCTCTAGCCAGAAGCCTGTAATACAGTGGCTGTAGTTAGTTGCTATTTGCCAAATTTGTTTTTGGGGTTAATTTTTGTAGTATAATTGAGGCTGTTGGATTGTTTCACAATTTGTCATCCCCTGGTGTTTTTTTTAGCTTACTATATAGGGTAAGGGTTTTTCTCAGTTTTGGTAGCTATAGTATCTTGTGGAGAGTTGTCTCATTGGCAATCATACCACATCTTCTTTTTTATATAGCTATACTGTGACCTACACATGTTCACATCTTTATCCTTTTTTAATTATTGGATTATAATTGTCTCATTGGCAATCATACCACATCTCCTTATTTTTACTTGTCTTTAAAGAACCAAACATTATGCCAACAATTTGTAAAGATCTTATTTGGCTATCAGTTAGCAAGAAATGTGCTAAAAATAAACTGACAAATCCATGGACAATTTTGTTAATAAAACTGATTTTTTACATGAAAATGATGTTTTTGATAATTGTCGTTTCTGAACCTTTTACTTCATTGCTGTAATACAAGTACTAGTCCCTCAACAGTTATACTGAGATAGTGATGTTTTGTTTTGTTCTGTGACAAAGTTAGGACCGGATTATCCTAAATAGATTATCTACTACTAATCACACTATCACAGTTTATACCTTGCAATTTCTTCCTGGAATTCTCTTAACAAGGCATCTTTAGGATCTTCATTTATCTTTGGTTTGTTCTTTATGTTCTTGGCACGATTAGCATACCTGTTTATATATAATAAATCCATCATTTAAACTATGAAGCCTATCTTACTACTGTTGCTGTATTTTCTTTCATAAATGAAATATCTCAGTTTTTTTAAATATTATTTGGATATATATTAGGAATGTTAATTTTGTCATAGCCAGTACTCAAGTACTTTCAAGGTCAACTAAGAGGATTTTCAAAAACAAAAGATCAAGTAATTTGTGCTTGTATTGTTCATTTCATTACTGTGGATTCATTATTATGATTTGTGGGATACCTGTTTTCGTGGATTTCGTGGGTAGAGGTTAACAAATTTAAATGTTCAAGGAAGTACACATTTTCTAAAGGTTTGTGTACAGACTTTTTCAAATCCACAAAATCAAATATCCATGAAAATTTTGAGTTTTCCTCATTCAATGAAAAATAAACGAATTCCCAGTATCCCATTGATTATGTACTATAATTCGTCACAGACTGCAATAAATTATATCCAAAACTATGTCACTGGATAAAATCCTTCACCACAAGAAAAACTCAGTTAAAACCATTAACCTGCCTGTGTTAATGTATTACTATTTATTATTCACCTGAGTGTACTAAGTGTTTCATCATAATTATAACTGGCAGGACCAATATTGGCTACCATCACTGTCTTGGCATTTCCTCCTAAAGAATCTGTAAAAATAATCATTCAGGATTCATGTTATATATACCATGACAACAGAGAGCAAAGAGAGAGAGTTTGTTCTCCCCATGTTCTATTCTAATGCTCCAAATAATAAAAAGTATGTGATGTGACAAATTTTCATCAAGCATAGGATAAATGGCTGTTAAACATTTTAGTGGAATATATAACATATGAAAAGTGTGAAATATTACATATGAAAAGTGGGAAATATTACATATGAAAAGTTGGAAATATTACATATGAAAAGTGGGAAATATTACATATGAAAAGATGATGTGGTATGATGTAGATGTAAGCAACTATATGCAATAATTATATTTCAGGACGATAAATGTTAATGAGATATGAATATATCCTGCTTTGTATTGTTGGACATTTAACATGTTAGCTCATAAGGTAACAGTTAGCAGTTTTTAGTCTCTGTAAGCACCAGTAATATTATATTTTACACTGTCATGATTAAGTCAGTTTTGAGACTATGTAGGTACCATAAGTACAATATAATGCCAAGTAATAATGGAGTCAGTTTTGAGTTCTGGATTCTGAAAGACAGGAGTATCATAACTTATCGTGTAATAATCAAGTCACTTTAAGGTCTCCATAAGAGATATTATATTTGACCTTGAAATAATCGAGTTAGTTTAGAGTCTCTGTAGAGCCTCTGTAAGGAACATGAGTATTATATTTCATCTTGTAATAATTGGGTCAGTTTAGAGTCTCTGTTAGTAATATTATTTACCTTGTAATAATCGTGTCAGTTTTGAGTCTCTAAGACATGAGTTTTATAAGTTACCTTGTAATAATCGAGTCAGTTTAGAGTCTCTATAAGGAACATGAGTACTGTGTCCATCAACTAAAGCTGAGATTACATTGCACAAGGCAGATAAGGACAAATTTATCTTTGTTGCTTCCTTGAATCTGTCACCCTTAAAATAAAAGCAATACTAGATAAATGACATGTCAAAAAAAGACACTAATAAAATTGATAATGGAAATGGGGAATGTGTCAAAGAGACAACAACCCGACCAAAGAGCAGAAAACAGCCGAAGGCCACCAATGGGTCTAATTCATAAATTGTTGCGATTTCTGGAAATGCTGCAAATAAATAACGCTATCAAAATTTAAAATAATTTTTGCAAACCTATCCAATCATATTTTTTGCGCAAACAAAAACATCACAAAAAATTTCTGAATTTACAGCAGTTTTTGTAGTGAAACAGTACTATTTCCAACACATACCTGACTCTGTGTTTTACTCTGCCTTTCACTGCCTGCCAAGTCCACTAAATTTAGTCTTCCTACTCTAATATGGTTCTCACCATCTTCTGCCATCTGTTGTAACATAAAAATATACATAGAGTAAATTTCATGTTGTATACTCTGTTGTAAAAATGCTTTCATTTTTATTCCATCAAATATACATAAATTAACATAAAGTAAATTAAGAACAAAACAACTGACATTTTCAAAAGGCAAAAAAAAAATTTCATTCCAATACACTTAATAATTGCAATTTTACAGCTTATCTCCATTTAAAGACTACCATGTCACTTTGCAATTAATGTTGTCAGATTAACTTTTGAGTGTATGTTAAAGATGACCCGGTTCAACTGAAACAACCAACTACAGCTTGGTCAGGTCATTTTAGATATTCTATTATGTCCATATACCTTATCATATGTGATAAAATACTTACAGCACTGCACTCTATGGTTATGATGAATATTGCATGTGATCTGGAACTGTGGGCATTCATATCTGTAGCTCTAGAAAATAAAATCATTTTTTTTTTAATTTGTAAACTGCAATCCTTTTTTCTTCCGTCAGCAAAGTGAAAATATTTAAGAAATAATTCAAGCCCCTATGAATTATTTCTGTTCTAATAGGAAAAAGACTGTAATTCTTTTGGATCGAAGCGCTCTAGGTGAAGGCAAATATTTGCTGTTCCCACTATTAAACAAACTATTAATATTGATGTAAAAGACTAAGAAAACTGAATTAGTGACATGCTTAAACAATTTACAATAACATACTTTTAATAGAAAGATTTAGATGAAGCTAGATGATTATCTTATTTTTATTTAAGACAAATGAGCTTTCAACAAATTTTGTATCATGGTTTGTTTATGTTTCCATGTTTTGACGACTTTCAGTTTTATATTTGTACATTTTGCTATAGAATGCCTATATTCTTATGTCATTGTTCTAAAACAACGTTATTTACACCGATCGACCTGGGGTAGCTCATTCATAAAGAACATACAACGTGGGAGAATGATTGGAACATCCAAAACAAATCAAACGTTGCCAATCAGCTGACATACAATATATTTGTATTTTAACAGAGGTGTGTACATAAAACCTTTAAAGAACGTCTTATTAGAATCTTTTTTATAGTATTACCCTAAAGAAGCAATGGAAACCACTCCCTGTTTTTGATGATTCATGTTTCTCATTGGTTTTTTTATATAATGTTTTGCACACTGTTGTTTATCCTTTTTATGTTTATGGCCATGATTTTGTTGGTTTCTCATCTTCTTTTGATATCTTCTGTCTCTTTTTTGACTTCTGATTCATTGTAAGGTAATTTGTTGCATCTGTAGTGTTTTTCTGTATTTAACTTTAATCAAGAACGCTTAAACTGAAAATGCTTAAAGCCAAAGGATGTACAAATACTTGACCAAAAGGGACCTCTAAGAATAACCAAATCCACCTAAGGTAAACTTTGTCCGAGGAAGTTTGAACGTTTAGTTAGTTCTGTTATCAAACCCTTTCAGCAGTGGCAGTAGGTGGAATTGATCTGCAGAGTCTTTACTGTAATTTGACTGTAATGTACATTAATGTACTTACCCTACAACTCTGTTGGCATTCCCAACATTCATTACATGTTCTATTTCTTTAATACTCTTTGTGACAAAAGATGAAAGGTCCTAAAATAAACATATAAAATCCAACCTTTAAAAATTGACACTAGTTTTTTATGAGGTACATGAACCAGTCAGATAATTAATCATCCCAGCCAATCCTTACTTTCTGTTTTCATATGATCTCATCTTTTTTTTAACCAAACTGATTATATAATTGCTTATATCTTTGTCATTTGAACTGTGGTGGATAGTTGTCTCATTGGCAACAAAACTTCAACCATACCACATCTCCATATTTTTATAATGACATCACAAAGCCATGATATGGGACTCTACAAGGAGTTGAGCAGAGTGATACAGGCACAGATGCCCCTTCCTTCCCCCCTATAAAAGGGGGCCTCAGTGGTCTAAGTAGTCAAACTACTGTATCACTAGCCTGTCAACAGTTAGGTTGTGAGTTCTAATCCAGCACGGGGCACGTGCACTCGACTCCAATCTTAATTGACTAGGATTGTCAGTTTTCCTACCGAAGGTCGGTGGTTCTCTCAAGCTTCCTCCACCAATAAAAACTGACCGCCACGAAATAGCACAAAATTGTTGAAAGTGGCATTAAACACCAATTAATCAATCCCCCCTTAAAATTTGAGAAATAGGTCTCTGGCATGTACATACAATAAAATATTGTTCAACAATTTTTCAATGATTACTCCAAAACTTGTTTTATTAAAATTTTTCATGGGGGGAATTTACAATTAATGAGGATTGATTTTTACAATGTTCATATAAAAGTGTAGCAGCCTTTACAGTGAACATTTAAATTGAGTGTGACTTTTTGTTTGAAAAACAAACAAGCAATGAATTTATGATAAAAATGCAGTGACCATTACAGTATTTAGACCAATATAAAATAACCAAACTGTTTCTGTACTTACTTTTACATAAACACCAGTGTCAGGCCTCTCTTTCAGTTCAAGTCTCTTTGTGTGATCCTTGGATAACAAATCTCTTATTTCTTCCTGTTAATAAAATTTACTTTCAATTATGATTTTGTTGAAGAAAAGTCTGCAGAGATATCTCAACTAAGTTTGTCTAATATAGACTTAGGACTTGCTGACAAGACTATTTTCACACATGTTTTACACTATATAGCTGTTTTCTAATTATAGCATGGTCTAAATGACAAACAATTCTTATTTAAATCAGTTTTGATGTTACACAAGGGAGATCTCCCTTGAAAAAAATATCTTAAAGTGAGATTTGCAATAAAACCCAGTTCATGTATGATTTCAACCATTTATAAAAAAGTAAGCTATGTTAAGTAGCTTGAACACTTAATGACATGTAAAATCAATGTTTTGACAGCAAGATATAAATTTTGACAGAACAAACAACTACATATACAATACTTGTGATAAGGGTTAGAAATAGGGTGAATCTTACTCCAAAGAAGGCATTTGACCCCCTCCCTCCCTGTTAGTTAAATTAGTTTGGTCACAAGAGGGTAAGAAGAAGGTTTTTTGAAAAAATGTTGAGAAGCTCTTACAAATACTAAGCTGACATCTATGTATATGATAAACTAATGTTTTGTCAACATCTTAAGTCTTTTACTTGATAGATTTAAGACCTTGATAATACATGTCCATGATGTCACTTATTTAAGAATTCAAGTATCCATGAAAAATGTGGTTTTTTTATTAATCAATATAAACCTTGTACCAACCAAGGCTTCCAAAACGGTCATTTATTCCGGACATTTGTATAATGTCCGGTTGGGCAAAGCACGAAACGGTCATCTACTTTTTATTTTTCAAGGCTTTCTTAAGAGACGGTCATTTTAACATAATTCGCGATCTTATTGACCCAACCTTTTGCCTTTAACAGCCACTCATTTCCGGTCATAAAAGTGACATGATCATTAAGTACTATCAAAACAACCCCTACTTTAATACTTCTCATTTTAATCAAGGCTAATTTGTTGTCGAACAGCTGAAATTTACCTGTTCAGGTGACAGGTAAACTATTTTGAACCGGACATTGATCGGTCTATTCAAAGTTATTTTCTTACATTTCATCGGTTTGCATCTAATTAATTTAGTCAAAAAGATTTAAATGATCAGAAATACATTTACAAATAAGATTTGATGAAAAAATTAAAGAGGCGAAAATGAAAAATCGTCATAACCACGTTGTTTGAACCAGAGACATGTCTCTGTTTGAACTAGGACATGTGTGCGCATGTGCATGTGCGCAGGTGTGAAATTTAATTATGCATCCTAATTTCTTAAAAAAATGCTTAAATTGTCATTGATACCTTTATCTCACGTTTATTTCGAATATTTTCTTGAAGAAATAACGTAGAATGAGCTACTTACACTCATTCATGCTTTGCAAACGTACAAGGAATTTACGTATCCGTCTCTGGTCCATGTTTTACCATTGTCAAGATAACATCCGGTTTCAGATTTAAAAACGAAAGTAAAGTTTTTGACAACGTTATTTTGCACAAATAAAGAGTCTAAGGCAGATATAAGTATGCTGATGTTGCACACTTCGGATGATGCACTGCCAAATTAACAGTTTACGTCAGAACTTCGAAAGTGAATCAAAGAAAGTTTAATATCGTTTTTTTTTAAATATCAATCATTGGGATGGCCAACTCGCCAACTGATTACCATAATTGCCTTTTGTTTATTTAGTCTTAAAGGATTAAAATCAGGATAATATTTAAAATGTCCCGCTGGCTAAAAATAATTTTGGAAGCCCTGGTACCAACCAAAATAAATGAATCCACAATATTTTTCTTACCATGTATATTTCCAAATATGAAGCTCGTATTAAATACTGCTGGTTTTCTGAGCGTGAAATATGCTGAAATATATGTTCAAATGAGTTGGGGATAACTCCTCTTTGTTCTGGATCATTTTTAATACCTGAAACAGACAAAAATAGTTTATTGTTAACTATTAACAAATTAGAACCATATTAGTTGGAAGGATTTTAAATGATTCAATGTCAGAAAATAATAAATTTAAAAAATTCTCGGACCAAACTTCATCTCTGAAAGGCTATTACTTGCTAAGATAAAATCAAAACATCCAAAAGTGAAGTCCAAAGTAGGTAGCAGTGATCTATTTGTGTTTGCCTTAACTCCTTTAGATTATCATATTAGAGTAAGAGAGATATGAACATGAAAGTAAAACTAAACCTAAGTTAGTGAAGCAGAAACATAGGTTATAGATATTAGGAATTTAAAACTTGTGGGTTCAGTTTGTACAATCTGTAATCATTGTGATTTCATACTTGTAATTCACTGATAAATTTAGATATTATTAGTAAGTATTGATCAACATTTATAGATTATCAATGGGTCTTTGAACAAGAGGGAGTTTCTTTGCTATAATCTCATCTAAAGGTGATAGCCCTAGGATTAGACGTAGCAGGGAAACTTCCTCTAGTTTGAAAGACCATTAATATAAATAAGATGATGTGGTATGAGTGCCAATGAGACAACTCTCCATCCAAGAACCTGTTTATTGCTTTTTTCCTAATCAACGTCAATAGTGTAAGCTCATGACATCATGTATTCTCTTTCTACTTGACCGAGAAAGACCCACAGGATGCGATGGAAATGATGAGAGGAAATTTAAGAAAACTTTGATAATGGAATATATTGCTCAAGTTGACAATTGAAGCCTTCTTGATCTTAATTAATGGGTCATTTATCTCATAAACTCATATTCAATTAAACTTTTATGACCAATAAATATGTAAGCCAAAGGCTACACTGCATCAAAGTAGTTAAATCAGTGAATAACCTATATCCTATTCAATTTAAACTAATACAGGAGTTCTCAAATAGTTCTGAAATATTTCAAATTTCACTGCCATGTTATTATGAAACCAATGACACTTGAAACATAAAGAATATATTTGGCACTTGGCTTCAGTTTCTTCAATTAATGATTGATGAATGACACACAGCAAACATTGCCCAACTATTACCCTAATATTGTTAAATTGTTGATTGGTTTAAAAAAATTTACAAGTATGGTTTTTGTTGAAACACCTACCCTGCATTGTATGTGTTTTGCCTGTTCCAGTCTGTCCATAAGCAAAAATAGTACCGTTGAATCCTTCTATAACTGATTGCACCAAGTCACGAAATGTTTCATCGTATAACTCTAACTGTATTGAACTGGATAGAAAATAGTATTAAATGTGAACAATAGAGCAGTCAATGAAATGCGTAAACAAATACATATTGAGAATTAGAAGATTTCTATTTTCAGTTTTAAATACTTTTATTTTAACAAAATATTAGATAAAGTGCTTTCTCACTGCTAAGTACCTTATGGAGTTTACACGATCATTTATCATGACGAACCATATGGATTACGTTATAATAAGGTTTGAGAATGAGACAAGCTTGAGATCTTGACGTAATCATTTTATGGTGTACCTTAGATTGTTCCTACATGGTTTATGAAGTTGTCAGTATTATTTTAAAATAGTAATTTTTTTGCTTTAAGCATGTTAAGAATTTGATCTGCAAGCAATGATGACTTGAAACTATGTGTTGGATTATTCATCAAAATGGTTCGTTAATACAAGGTTACTTTTACCATATTGATCACACTTACTTCCAGTCATAAACTGAATCAAATGTAAAAGATTTGGGAGCCTCTGATGATAGTCCTTTAGGATTCCTCACTTCTATCAGTCCTTTTTTTACTGTCATATCAACAGTTCTGTAATATAAATAAAGCAATGAGAAATTTTGAAAATCTGATACATCTTTTAAAGGGGTTTAATGACAAATCATATGAAGGTTCTGATGACCGTGTATAGAAAGCCTCTGAAGAAAGTTCACGACCTCTAAGACCTCTCTCGGCTGACTTGTATCAAAATCTAAAAATAAAATACTCTAGTAGCTGCCATCATTCTTTAATATAGAATTACTTTATTCTTTAAATGTAGTTGTATATATTAGTACTTTTCTGGTTTGATTTTTAGTCTTATAGTTTATTTATCCCTTGATCAAGATGATAAAAGAGGGTTGTGTAATCACTGCCTAGTTTAACTACACTGTATCTGACCCCAGTCTGAACCCTAAATCCATATCTAAATTGTGTTAAAAGCATGCCATTCAATATATTTTTTTATCTACATCATTCCTAAATGAAAACAGTTTGATTTAAATATATAGCTCAAGATATAGATCTGACATATAACAGAAATAAAAGAAAATACAGGGTTAAGGAAGACATCTATGATAGCCAAAAAAAAAAAAGCCAAAATCACAGTCATTCAGTAGCACCAGCATTTACAGAAAAAAACTTATAATACATGTACTTCAGCACTTGTGAATACTTGTAGTCTTTACCTTTCATGTCCATCTTTTATCTCCTTTTCATTCATAGGACGACATCTTACCACTACCTTTACACTCTCTGCTTTGTTTGGTATTACAAGCTTCTTAGACTGTAACAAATAAAATACACATTTCATAAAATATACACATGCTGGTTCAATACGCCTTATCGCTACTTGTTCACCATAACTTGCCATCACACAGTCGAACTTTCCCTAAACATTTTTACATCATAAGAGATGATGTCTGAAGCAACATTGCAGATGTGATTGTTGCAAGATGTCAATAGTTCAAGGGTCTTAGGGTATGGGGTCAAGTGTTGAAGGTGAAAATTCCAAAATGATAAGGAAAGTTGACTGCAAAATTTAAGGGAAGTCCTAAACCAGCAAGAACACATACATTTCCTTTAAAACAAGATTTTTATTATCTTTAGGAAACTGTTGTTTGTGGTAGATTTCAGTACCTAATCATTGTGGTAGATTTCAGTACCTAATCATTAATTGAATCAGTAATATCAAGGATGTCTTTATATCATTGCATTGTTTGTTGTCGTAATTAAAGCAATATCTTTTAAGTATATACTATAAGTGTCTTTATGGGGGTTGAATTTAACATGTTTTATCACTGGCTCCAGGGCCTAATCTAGGATTTTGGAGAGGGAGAAGTGACTTCTCCTTCCATGAGAGAGAAGGGAGAAGTGATCAATTTCTTGGAGAGTGAGATTCCATTACCGTTTCTGTTGCATAGTGTTCTCGTGCTTATCACTAAGGAAATTGTTTTATATGCAATAAAAAATATACTTGCAGTTTTTTTCATGTTATTGTACAATAAAAATGTTTAGACAATATAGTTGTTAATTATTCATTGATACCATTTGTACTGTCAACTTGAATTTAAGTTTAAATTTGTTGCTTGGGACATGAGGGAGTAGCCTAGTAATATTATGATGCATTAAATTCATGTGCATCTCAATTTGTTTTTAAATGTCCAGAAAAATATGACTCCCAGTTTACCTGATGAATTTTACATGACTGGGAATTTAATTTTTATCACCACATGTCATTATTTTTTAAAACATTATTGAATGTCCAGGACATCATGTTACATGTAGTTGTAAATTGAGATTCTCGTTAAAGATTGTAAGCCTATAAATGAAAATATCTGTCAATCACATATTAATTAACCGATAAAGAGCTAATTTCTATCATTTTTTAAAGATATCTTCCCTATCAACGAAATGGTCGAAAAAAAAAATCCACTGCTGATCACAGCTGGTCGAGTGTCGTACGTTTGCAATCACATTATCCATCAGCTGTCTTTCTACCTTTTATATATCAATTTTTATTCAATGAATATAATAAATCTACCGTTAATTCCCTCCCTTTACCTACCGAATAGTACAATTTGAACGACTCGTAATAAATAAAAATAAAACAAATCAGCTGAGTGATTACGCAACATCCTCAGATAAAAATCATCGTAAAATGATAACAGACGATCAGTTTTCTGTTTGAATAGTTTTGAATGTTATATCCAAGGATGTTCAAAGTCGATGTTGTATTTATTTAAATTGATATTCGACAGTATTAGTCCTGGGTCGTTTCAAAAATCTCGATTTTCCTTGTCAGTCGCCATTTTTTTTACCTGGGAGACTTGTAATTCACAAGTTGTCTCCCTTTTACCAATTTTCATAGCGATTTGACTTCGCCATGAAGTCAGTCAGCTGGCGAGATTTAGCGATTTTCAAAATTCTTTGGCGACTTAAATCGTCATTTCGCCGGCAAGATTATGGCCTGACTGGCTCTGCTATTGTAGAAGTTCCATAAGCATGATAAGCAAGATGTGACTACTCCCAAAAGTAAGGTCATTCATGCAAGTTGTTTATGTCCAGCAAAAAAAAAGAACTTTGTTAGTGACTGTGAGCTCAATTGTACTAAACTTTTAAATTTTTATTATAGCTGCATTCTAAATGTTTTATCTGAAATCAAGTAACTTATCAGCTTCAGCAAACACTAATATACATTACATACCATTATGACTTCTTTCTTATTAACTTCTACGTATAGATTAAATCAACAGAGTCAGTCTTCATTTCCAAGTCTAAAAAAAAATATATAATAAATCACGCATTATTTTAGTAAAAAAAAGGTTGGGAGGAGAAAATACATTTTAAATTAGCTATCAACATTTTACAGATTTCTTATAATCTGTATATCAGGGTACTGTTTGTAATTTTTTAACCCCTCTCCTTTCCCACTGGAGCAGTTGCTGGACTAATGTTTTATACATCTACAATTGCTGTTGCAATTTTATGTCTTTCTAATGGAAGTCATAATATTTGATTTCATGAGTTATCTTAGTTTAAACATATTTTATTTGCCTACATTTTTTAAATATGCAAAAAGGATGAGACACAAGTTAATCAAACTAATAAAGTTATACAAATCTTTTTGGGACATGCATGATACACACAGAGCATCTATTTTCAAAACTGTCACGTGAAATTCAGGTGTTTTGTAATTTTATCATCATCTGCAGGGACGACAAAAAAGTGCACAGCAAAATCCAGTTTTTTTAATTTTCTAAAACATAAAATGCATTTGAATCTTATTTATCTAGATCATGCTATGCATTAAAACTTTTCCAGGTGCACAGGTTTTTCTGTATTCAGAGCAAATTTTTGGGTTTAAACATGCCGTAAGATCAGGGATCTCCACAGATGAAAATTTAACAATGGAGGAACTTTCAGCATGACAAAAACCCGCCTCTACAGCATGTTGTGATGGAAAGTATTTCATTCCTGCATTTCTATGAACGGAATGGTGAACAGGCTGATAAATTGCTTATTATATTTATTTCATTATAGAATAACCAATATTTTCATTTATTGTCATTTGTAACAATTCCAAGGTCAAGCCTGCATGGCTACCCCTTAGTCAAGAATGACCACAAGCTGTCCTTAAGGTTCCCAAGTCGTTTTCTTGCTATTTTGGTAATTGTTTAGGAATTGAAAATCGTGAGGATCTTTTTTTCACTGTCAAATTCAGAAGTCATGAACCGGTATCGACAATTTGCAGTATCACCAACAAGAAGTTTTGTACCCGTTTTGTAAAACGTTGAAGAAAGATTTGGAGGGCAAACATTTACAACTTTAATGGTTTGAATGACTTTAAATTGCAAATTTCATAGTAATAGACTATGCAACATTCATCTTTCGTTTCTGAATGTAAACCGGATGTTTTAATTTGATTGTAAACTACGAAATGAATTCGGAATTACGATATGAAATTTCTTCAGATTATCAATTTGCAGTTAATATTCATGTATTTACTTTTAAACTTGTAAAGTGATTCAATATTATCGATAATTGTTGTACTCGTGTTATTTGGCATGAAATTATGTTCTGTTTTATGTCTTATTTTGTACTTGTTTGCTAAACCTTTTTCTTCTTAACTGGATTTAAAATTTATTTTTTAATCTAAATTTTCAATAGCATTTGCTGATGTTCTCCTGTCAGGTGTGTCGATCTACCTGTACAAGTGATTAGCGATCTTTAGCCAGGTATCTCTCAGGGCTTTAAAACTGTAATCAGGAGGACCCTTTGGATTATAATACATGCAATTGATTATAATTGCTAACAAAAATGGCGGCGGCTAGCGAAATGAAAACAAATTTTGGATTATTTGATGTTGACAGAAAATAATTTAATGATGGCAGGGATCATTTGACTATGGCGGAAGATAATTTAACGATGGTGGTGCGCCATCATAAAACAGGTCATGGAGATCCATGAGAACATTAGCCATTTATTTATTTCAAGTATGTATTTCATGTATTTAGTGTTTCCGACAGGAGATCCGCTTGGTATGACGCCAAACCCCTTTTCTGTTGTATTTTATAACACTCTGCCGTAATTTAAAATTGGTTTTGCAATTTATCTATTAGTAAGACTATATTGAGTTGTTTCCCTTTGGACGAAATCAAATTATAATGGGAGATATTTTATTAAATTTTGTAATCATATCTGAACATTTTTGAAATGACAGAGTACAACTTCGGTTCATGATTGAATCTAATAAGGACAACATTGACTTGGAACCTCCATGAATTTAAAATGTCGACAATTTAAAAGGGAACCAGGCAACAGTTACAATTTTACATGATGCCTGGGATGAACCTTATGTAAACAATGAGCTGTTTGTTTAGATCTTCCTTTTTGTCGAGCCTTCGACTTTAGTCGAAAAAGCGAGACATAGCGATCCTACATTCCATCGGTGGCATCGTCGACGGCGTCCACAAATATTCACTCTGTGGTTAAAGTTTTTGAAATTTTAATAACTTTCTTAAACTATCCTGGATTTCTACCAAACTTGGACAGAAGCTTGTTTATGATCATAAGATAGTATCCAGAAGTAAATTTTGTAAAAATAAAATTCCATTTTTTCCGTATTTTACTTATAAATGGACTTAGTTTTTCTGCCGGGAAATAATACATTCACTATGTGGTTAAAGTTTTTAAAATTTTAATAACTTTCTTAAACTATCCTGGGTTTGTACCAAACTTGGACAGAAGCTTGTTTATGATCATAAGATAGTATCCAGAAGTAAATTTTGTAAAAAAATAAATCCATTTTTTCCTTATTTTACTTTTAAATGGACTTAGATTTTCTGCCAGGAAACAACACATTCACTCTGTGGTTAAAGTTTTTAAAATTTTAATAACTTTCTTATACTATTTTGGATTTGTACCAAACTTGGACAGAAGCTTGTTTATGATCAAATGCTAGTATCTAGAAGGAAATTTTGTTTTCTTCCAGTTAACATTACATTCAGTCTGCAGTTAAAGGATTTAAACATTTATTAGATTCATAAACTATCCTGGATTTTTACCAAACTTGGACAGAAGCTTCTTACAATCAAAAGATAGTATCAAGAGGAATATTTTTATTGATTTACTTCCTCATTTTTGTTGAGCCTGCGATTAACAGAAAAAGTAGGCGAGACACGGGGTTCTGCAGAACCCTTACGAATTTTTCAGAATGATCACTTATACAATGCGGTCAGTCAAGACATTGGATTTGGTGTGAATCTAGGACATGTAGGATGGTTTTCTGACTATTGCCTTGTAAATAAAATAAAATTAAATTTAACTGGTTAACAGGTTGGGCACGAGTCAGGAAAAGTGGGGTATTCCCTGTTTTCAGGGAACAGCCCCAGTTTTCTGGTGTTAAAAAACCCCAGTTTACAGGGACTTCCTTTTACTATTTCAATTTATGGCATGAAATTTACAAAAGCACACGTTTTAACTGTATCAGTAGTATTTGTAAATACTTAAAAGTATTTCAGGAGCAACCAAACATGAATGAGTGAAGCCTTGTTTTTTCTAGAACTCAAAAACATACAAATCTTTTGTTTAGGAATCAATTGACCAAGCTACATGCTTCAGGTGTAACTGACCATAACTGAATTATGTTCACTTCTATTGAAAATTTCTATTCATTGAATTTAAATTCCCCAAGTGATTAACTTATCTTATTGTCATCTCATTATTGGTGATCAATGTATGAATTGGTGAACAAAGGAATTGTTTTGTTGTGAGTTGAGCATCAAATTAGACTTGAAATTAGCTTGATTTTTGAACTAATAAAACCACTTGCTATCATAAAACATTGTTATCACATGTAGAAGGTGCACTTTTGTAGATTTCATACCATAAATTGAAAAGGGAAAAAGTCCCTGTATACTGGGGTGAACTCTGAAAAAAGGGAATACCCCAATTTTCCTGACTTGAGCCCAACCTGGTTAACTTAAGGTTCATGTCATGACATCAATGTCATCATAACAAATGGACAAACATGGCTTTGACCCTCGAAAATCACTCTGATCTCAGGCAAACCTGTGCAGTTGAACTAGTTTTAAGGTCTATTATCCACTTGATATATAAAAGTTAATTGCATTTTGTGTTTCAGAAAGATAAAATTTGTTTTTGGAATATCAATATTTTCAGAAAGCTAGCTTTTTGCTTTGCTTGTTCGGTTGTTGATGTCGATATGATCGCGATACTCTACTGTTGCTACTCTTCCTGACTGAAAAGAAGAAAAAAACGCTGGGAAACGTAATCGTACCTTGTGGCAATTTTAAACAAGGTTCGGTATCAGCAGTTTACCTGCATCTCAAAACTTCGTCAGAAAAAATGTAACGCATGCGCACATTTTCTATAAATATTTCAATGTCTTCTAAACGTTTCAATGTAACGTTTCTCTACGTTCTTTCACTAAACATCATTTAGACGCAGACTAGCACTATTCAGAACTTATACTTCAACAACACTAAACATCTTATTCAACCAATCTTAACCCCTTTCTAAAAATTGGGAGAAATGCTTCACACTTAATTGTAGACATGATGCTGTACAGCTTAAATGGCATTTAAGATATTCAAGATAAGAAAATTCGAGATATCCACAAAAATGCATTGGTTGTCATGTCAACAGTGACAACTAAAAACATTCTGTGACTTAAACTGATGTATACAAGAGAAAAACGCAATGTCAGCGGAAGATAGATTCTCTATGTCAGCAGAAAAGTACCTTGGTGCGTTTTTCAAAATTACATTTTGCAATGTTATTGTTTTGAACTTCTTGTTCATGAAAAGTGGTCGGAGAACTTATTCCAAAAAAATGTCTGTTTCATACCTCCACACCAACCCTTTGTTTGTCGCAAACCCCTTGAACATTTTTTTGCCTTGCAAAAATTATAATATGAGGCATTTGCTACCTGTGAAAAATGAAGAATCCTTATTTTTGTTGGTAATCAGATATACATGCGAGTTTTTGGTCAGTGTTCTCCCCAGGATTTTTTGATAGTGATAAGCGCATGATATAAGAGCGATTCACTGTACGCGTTTGCGATGTGATGTAACATTAATTGTACTGTCACGTTGGTTATATAGTATTAAATAGACAAAAACCATATGTTTTTTTTAAATAATACATATATGCATTTACAGAAATGGAAATAAGTTACATTTATATAGCATTGAAAATTAAAATGCCAAATAATTGAAGTATTTTGATTTGAATTCCACCCCGATTCCCCCCCCTTTTTTTTTAAAGAGTAATTTTTTTTTCACAGTAGGTTTATCATTTATTCTCTTTTAGTTGTATCACATATATTTATGTATTTCATTTACAACTTCATAATTTACTGACACATATATAAAGAAAGATTTTAATAGCAAAGTTTTGATGTTTTTTCTTTAACTTTTATTTTAAATGGATATCATACATAAAATTAAGTAAGTAAAATTTTATTTTGATTTGGCATTTTGACAAACAAATTAATCGTAAGCTCTAATGAGATTTTCACCGAATATAAAAACATATACAATAATTATAACCAATAAAACAAGGCATGCAACATGCAAATAAATAGTAATAAAACAGCACCACATTAACTCCAGAATATAAATGTATCTTGCTAACACTAAAAGCATATATATGCTAAGACATACTATAAAGAAAAAGAATAATTTATAAAAATTGGCAGCTAGAAATTTTCAGTAAATTAAAGTAAAACTATAATTCTTGTAATTAATAAGTGAAAATTTTTCAATTGCAATGCCTGCTGTTTATGCAGCATAAAAAATATATCAAAAAATTACCTGCAAGCAGAGCAAAAACAGTCCGATCCACTCCAGGATCGAACAAGACTTCTAAAATGTGTGAAGCTCACAGTTTTCAGTCCTGAAATGGTCTGGAAAATTATTCCATAAAGAAGCAGCAGCAAAGCTAAAAGATTTCTTACCATATGAGGTAGTTCTTACCTGTGGTATTTCCAAAATGTGGCTGTATTTAAAAGAATATTTAGTGTGTTTAATGTGAAGCAAATTTTGTAAGCATAAAGGAGCCAAATTATTCAAAATTTTGTAAGTCTCAAGTGCCATTGTCCTGATAGAACACTTGTAGGGTTGGAGCCTTTGCGTTCTCAAGAAGAGTTTCAGAGTAAGGATAAACTTTTCATGAAAACTTTGGAAATGATACTTTTCCACACCTTTCATGAAATTTCGTTTCTTTCTGTTAAAAACTCAAGAAAGAAATAGGTCTTTAAGACAGTCAAAGTTTTGGCAATAACACCATTTTGTTAATTAATTGAACTGGTCCCTCCGATATTTGACATCGTTAGGTAAAATAAGCAACCCTGTCAAAACAAACAGGCGATCATGTGATCAAAATTGTACGAGTAAACATGGGAATTTGAAAATTGTTAATCACAAGCACTGTGTTGTGATTGGATACCGCTTTGGTCTGTCCCAATACCACAGCGCTGAAATGAGATAGCGCTGAATACCGCAGCGCTAAAACAGCCTGGGGAGAACACTGTTTATGGTTAAATCATATGCTTAACTATTATATACATGGCACCCTCTATCATCAGCATAATGGTCAAGTGCTTATATATTGTAAAAAGAGTTTACAATTTTAGATTCACTAATGTATTTATTTTGAAATTGTTTTTTCATCTTATTAATTTTCATCTAATAAATTGAAGAAAAATAGAGAGGATTATGAAGAGTGTAATAAAAGGGGATTATGTGCAAGGGATTTAAATCAATTTGCACGAAGCGGTGTGAATAATGAGTTTCAAGCACAAAAGCTCGTGAAAAAAATGCAAACACATAAACACATTTACAGGAAAAAAAACTTTACCACCTGCTATGAAGCCTATTTCAATCTGCTGACTTAATGTAAAATTTGTAATAAAACTAAAGACTGAATTAGATTGAAATTGTCATTGCATTGGAAATTTCAAAACTCCTGAATGCACCTATTACTAGATGTGTATTGTAAATTGGGACTTATAGAAAACATGTGATTTTAATGAGAAAAGAAATCTGTCCGACTTACCTTTTTTTTTTACCAGAGGTGACACAGGAGGCAAAAAAAAATGTTTGCCTTATCCCTGAATGGTGATTTGGGATTTGGAGGTTAGGAAGCAAATTAGAAACATTTTCAAATTCATATGGGATTCATAAAATAGACATTTGACATGTATAATGACCTTTTTACACATTGTTTTTGGCCAAATTAAATATGTTAGATAGTCTTAAGCATAAATTACATTTACACAGATCATCATCTTTTTGACTGTTGCTCATATCTTTATATTAAAGGACAATTTCTCTCAAGATGATTCTACATTTTGTATTTTGGCAAGAAGATTGTAGTACATTATGTAGGACAAAATTGTAAAATATGCATAACTGGTTACATATGTAATCGGATTACTTAAGGAAGATAGGAGGTTTCTTTAGTAAATCATTTGCCTTAGGAGAATAGTGGAAATGAATGCTAAAAAATTAAAATGCATGTGATGCATTCACAACAAAGAACCCTGCATTTTTCATAGTACATGTATTTCTATTTTTTATAAATATAATTTCCGGGTAATTTTATCATGATTGTGGATTTATTAACTTTAATCTATAAATATTAAACGTTATGAAAATTGAGATGTTTGATTTGTTTTATGATACTTTATGGGTATTCCCTCTTGAATTGAACTAAAATAATTCCTACAATTAAAGAGGGATAACAGGAATCAGTACGACAGGCCTAATACAGTACGACAGGCCTAATACAGTACGACAGGCCTAATACAGTACGACAGGCCTAATAAAGTACGACAGGCCTCATACAGTACGACAGGCCTAATACAGTACGACAGGCGTAATACAGTACGACAGGCGTAATATAGTACGACAGGCCTAATACAGTACGACAGGCCTAATACAGTACGACAGGCCTAATACAGTACGACAGGCCTAATACATGTTAGATCAGTACGACAGTCCTAATACATGTTAGATCAGTACGACAGGCCTAATACATGTTAGATCAGTACGACAGGCCTAATACATGTTAGATCAGTACGACAGGCCTAACACATGTTAGATCAGTACGACAGGCCTAATACATGTTAGATCAGTACGACAGGCCTAATACATGTTAGATCAGTACGACAGGCCTAATACATGTTAGATCAGTACGACAGGCCTAATACATGTTAGATCAGTACGACAGGCCTAATACATGTTACGACAGGCCTAATACATGTTACGACAGGCCTAATACATGTTACGACAGGCCTAATACATGTGGGATCAGTACGACAGGCCTAATACATGTTAGATCAGTACGACAGGCCTAATACATGTTACTTTACTCATTTAATTGTTTAACATTTGTCATTTTAGGGCTTATACCTTAATATGCAGTGTGGGTTTTGCTCATGGTTGAAGGCTGTACAGTGACCTATAGTTGTTAACTTCTACATCATTTGGTCTCTGGTAAAGAGTTGTTTCATTGGCAATCATTCCACATCTTCTTATTTTCATAATGCATTGTATTTGTAATTATTATAATAAAAGAATATTGAGAAAGGGACATGGTATGAAAATTCTCATATTTTTGTCACAGTTTTCATGTCGTTGCACGAAATAAAAAAAAAATATTGTTCTTTTTCAGCAAAACACAATATACTTATATACTTTGAGGATAGTATTGCCCAGCTGTTAGAACACAGAGAAGAAAATCCAAAATTGAACTCCATTAAATTCCTCAGTGAATAGTAAGTATTATTTAGATCTTAGTACAGTCAGAAGAATTTCATGTACTTGTAAATATACTATCCTATTGGAAATTTAGCTAACCAACACAACACTACAGATACATTCTAAGAAAGGGATTGTCAACATTTGAAATAGTGAGAAAGTCTGTTGAATGTGTTTGCATAACTTCATTGACAATAGATTTCAAAGTTGTGTTTTCCTACATTTTTTTTAGAAGCAGACTTTTGGTTACGTTTGGACATTTCATGTGAAATAATTAGGACCTGTACCCCAAATTTAAAATTGATGCTTTTTTTACAAATTTTTCATTTTGTTCACTTCCATCCATGAAAAATGCACACAAATAGTGCATTTCATACAAATTTACGGTTTTATTCTTACCAATCATCACAATTTATCAGCCATGTTAATTTGATGATGAACATAGTACTACTTGAAACCTATTTCAAGTTCAAATTGAAGATATGGGGTTTACATGAATATGATAGCAACCCACAACACAAAACTTCAAAAGACATCTAGAGGTTAACATATAGTTTTCATCAATATACAAGCATCAATACTATATGTAAGGCTCTAAATCGCCTAGGCAGTTGGGACAAGTCATTCATGACTTAACAAAGACTGAATAAGATCTGCAATTATCATGTGATAAAACAATTTTAGGAATGTGCAGAAAAACACTCAGTCATAACTAAAGACAACTGCTGACAAGGTGTTTGACTTGGTACAGGCACATTAACATCTGTTGCATGGTTAAAATGGTTTATTGAGTATTAATCTCAACCTGGTACACAGAAACATCTACAATAAAAATAGGTGAGATAAAGCACATTATAATATCAGTTATGTTAGTAGTACAATAAAATTATACTAAATAATACCATAGCAAAGAATGATTGTTCTTTCTGAAAACAAACTTTATGTACTTCAAACAAATAATATTTTAGTAGATTTCAAATAGCAATTTCATGAACAGTGCAGGAAGACAAGATCTGGTGCAATGTCCAAAGTAAATTTGTGTAAAGAATTTCAACACAGAAAATGAAAAAAGAGTCATTACGTGGTGTTTGAAAATGTAAATAAGCAAATTGATATTCAAAACACAAAGATTTTACAGCATCAGTATAACTGCAACATTTTTCAATGAGTCTATGAAAGATTTAAAGGACAATTTATAAAATCGTTTGCTTTATTGATAATGTTATCATTAAAAGGCAGGTGTGAATTTCTACCCATTTTAAGTTAAAAACAATACTTATCTTTACTACATTGAGAGTTTTAGTACATGTATTTTTTTTTCAATGAAAATTTATGATTTTAGCTTTAATGCCTTACGAGATGGAAACCACACAATGTTTAGAGAATACTCATTTGTACATGTGACATCACACAACAGAGCATCATTTGTACGTTTATTCTGGAAATGTTACAGACAGATTGGTAAAAAGGGAGGTAAGTATCAAGCTTGGTTGTCTGTTTAAACATAACAAAATAAGGTGGAGTAGATACCAAGGAGCAATCACTACCTTTAAACATAACAAAATAAGGTGGAGTAGATACCAAGGAGCAATCACTACCTTTAAACATAACAAAATAAGGTGGAGTAGGTACCAAGGAGCAATCACTACCTTTAAACATAACAAAATAAGGTGGAGTAGATACCAAGGAGCAATCACTACCTTTAAACATAACAAAATAAGGTGGAGTAGGTACCAAGGAGCAATCACTACCTTTAAACATAACAAAATAAGGTGGTGTAGATACCAAGGAGCAATCAAAACTAGAAGTATAAAAACATGGCTTAAATGAATAATTATGATGGAGTCTGTTTAACTTTCAAAAAGATCATTTCAATTTTACCATTAGATGCAGGTGCTGCTGGAATGTTGCTACATAGAAATGAAAACTTTACAGTGGGAAAATAAAAATCAACTCCCTTGTCATAAAGTTTAGTTCTCAACCAACCCTTAGTGTCAATTTCTAGATGTTCATGTAAGTTAAGATATAAAGTAAAACCTTATAGTACCTGTGGTACCTTCTGATAAAATAGGATAGATGAAATCAACATAGTCACCAAACTTTGAATTACTCAATGAGAGGAGCAGCGAGTGAGGTTAAATGCTATAACTGCCTTTCATTATTCTTTAGAAACCTGCCTCATACAAATTAAGGAACAAATCTGTTAGAAGAAGAGCACAGTTGGTTCCCATAGGGATGTTGTCTGTTTGTTGAAGAAAAATGTCTGTCAAACTGAACAAATATGTTTCTCAATAGAAAGTTGGACTAATTCTTTAAATCTGTCGAGTTAAGAATGTGGAATACTTGTTTTGCGGGTAAAGCAATCAAATCTTTTTTTTTTGTTCTATTTCACAATGGAAGAAACTTGAGTGTTACCAATTTTTTGGTAACCCATTATGATTCACAGCTTGAACGTTAGACTAGGAAGTTTAACAGTAACTCTGAAACCTGGCTTAGATTATTGAAATGATTGAGGAAATATGGTACTGTATTTGAAGAGCTGCCACTGTCAATTTTTGATTTGACAATCCTAAATGTAGTTTGGGATGCTGAGTGGAGCCAGTAAAATGGATATGATATACCGGTAGACATTAAATTCTCTCAAGATAAGAAAGCTATGCTCATTTTTGGTTTCTAGGTTTTAATTAGGGCCCCGCAGAATGGCGGGTCGCCCTATAGTGATCAGTCTGTTCGTCAGTCCGTAACAAATTGTGTCTGCTCTAAATCTAGAGAACTGTTATAATTTTATACTTTATACTTGACATGTATGTTAACCAACACCAGAGGGTGTGTCATAATGCATGTACAACTTCCTAGGTCAAAGGTCAAGGTCAAAAACTTTGGTTTCAGTTGACAACCCCATGTCCTATGATAAAGATACAAATTTTTTACCACACATTATTCACAGCGGGGCCCACAGAGATGGCTCCCATCTCAATTATGTTTAGTTTGTACTTAAATTTCTTTGGTTTAACCTTAGAGTGTCTAATGTACAGGAGTTAAATGTTTAATTTGGCAGTAGGGAAAAAACTTTTGACAGAGATATCCATCAATCTGATATTTTGGTTTGCAGATTTTTTTAGTGTTAATGAATACCATTCCAAGGTGACTTTGTTAATGAAGATATTCACCAATCTGTTTTGTTTTGTAGATTTACTTAGTGTTAATGAATACCATTCACTGCTTACTCTGTTATGCCCTGACTTTCCATTTGAAATTGTACAGAAGACAGCGAGGTAAGATTTATAATGTTGTTTCCTATTTCAAATAGGTTAGTTTATTCCACTGATTTTTTGTTAAATGTTTCATACAAATAATGCTTTCAGATTTTAAATGCAAGTTTTTATAGCCCTGCTCCAAAAGAGTGGGGTATATTTTATACTGTCTGTTCGTCTGTATATCTGTCCGTCCCATGAAATTTACTTTGCATTTTTCTCAGAAACTACAAATCAATATCATGCTTTATGTTAAAATTGAAAATGGAAATGGGGACTGTGTCAAAGAGACAACAATATTTTTAAAGGGTACAACAAATAGAGTTTCAAGAAAATTGTTATTAAGCTTCGTGTGAATATGCTATACCATGTGATGTGGTTTCAGATTCATCTATTATCAACTTCCTGTTTACTGAATGCTTTTATATACTGACACATACTGGCCCTGTGTGAAATTATTATCACATTTTTCTTTGGAACCACATACAAGAGCTTCCTGGAATTTGTTATCAGTCTTCATGTGAACATACTATACTGTGTGATGCATTTTCAATCTTCTTGAGGTACTACGAGATTTCTTTTTTTTTCTGTACTTTCATGTTCTGTTATTTAAAGATGGTTACTACAATGTAGGTACATGTACTGTCTTATCTTACATCATTTGTTTATGTATTGTAGGATAATTCTTCTTGATGATGCTATGGACTGTCTCATTAGTTTCTCTGATTTTATTTATGCATTTCAAATCCAGTTTTACTATGAAGGTAATTATTACTTTATACATTTCATTCAGTGTTTACAGATTGCAATATTGATTTTTTATACGACCGCAAAAAAAATTTTGTGGTCGTATATTGGTATGACATTGGCGTTGTCGTCGTTGTCCAAAGACACATTAGTTTTCGCACTCTAACTTTAGTTTAAGTGAATGGATCTCAATGAAATTTTACCATAAGGTTCAATACCACAAAAGGAAGGTGGGGATTGATTTTGGGGGTTATGGTACCCACAGTTAAGGAATTAGGGGCCAAAAATAAGCATTTTTGTAACTTCCAGACATAACTTGTGTGTAAGTGTATGGATCTCTCTGACATTGTACCACAAGGTTCCATATCACAAAGGGAATGCTGGGATTGATTTTGGGGGTAATTGCCTCCAAATTTTAGGAATAAGGGGCCAAAAAGGGGCAAAAAACAAGCATTTTTCTAGTTTCATGACAATAACTTGTGTGTAAGTGTATGGATCTCTCTGACATTGTATCACAAGGTTCCATATCACAAAGGGAATGCTGGGATTGATTTTGGGGGTAATTGCCTCCAAATTTTAGGTATTAGGGGCCAAAAAGGGGCAAAAAACAAGCATTTCTCAAGTTTCATGACAATAACTTGTGTGTAAGTGTATGGATCTTTATGAAATTGTACTACAAGGTTCCATATCACAAAGGGAAAGCTGGAATTGAGTTTGGGGGTAATTGCCCAAAAAGTTTAGGAATAAGGGGCCAAAAATAAGCATTTTTGTCGAGCCTTCGACTTTAGTCGAAAAAGCGAGACATAGTGATCCTACATTCCGTCTGCGTCGTCGTCGTTGTCGGCGGCGGCGTCCACAAATATTCACTCTGTGGTTAAAGTTTTTGAAATTTTAATAACTTTCTTAAACTATCCTGGATTTCTACCCAACTTGGACAGAAGCTTGTTTATGATCATAAGATAGTATCCAGAAGTAAATTTTTTAAAAATAAAATTTCATTTTTTCCGTATTTCACTTATAAATGGACTTAGTTTTTCTGCCAGGAAATATTACATTCACTCTGTGGTTAAAGTTTTTTAAATTTTAATAACTTTCTTAAACTATCCTGGGTTTGTACCAAACTTGGACAGAAGCTTGTTTATGATCATAAGATAGTATCTAGAAGGAAATTTTGTAAAAAAATAAATCCATTTTTACCTTATTTTACTTTTAAATGGACTTAGATTTTCTGCCAGAAACAACACATTCACTCTGTGGTTAAAGTTTTTAAAATTTTATTACTTTCTTATACTTTTTTGGATTTGTACCAAACATGGACAGAAGCTTGTTTATGATCAAAAGCTAGTATCTAGAAGGAAATTTTGTAAAAAAATAAATCCATTTTTTTCCTTATTTTACTTTTAAATGGACTTAGATTTTCTGCCAGGAAACAACATATTCACTCTGGTTAAAGTTTTTAAAATTTTAATAACTTTTTTATACTATTTTGGATTTGTACCAAACTTGGACTGAAGCTTGTTTATGATCAAATGCTAGTATCTAGAAGGAAATTTTGTTTTCTTCCAGTTAACATTACATTCAGTCTGCAGTTAAAGTTTTTAAACATTTATTAGATTCATAAACTATCCTGGATTTTTACCAAACTTGGACAGAAGCTTCTTACAATCAAAAGATAGTATCAACAGGAATATTTTTATTGATTTACTTCCTCATTTTTGTTGAGCCTGCGATTAACAGAAAAAGTAGGCGAGACACTGGGTTCCGCGGAACCCTTACGAATTTTTCTAGTTTCCAGACAATAACTTGTGTTCAAATGTATAGATCTCTCTGAAATTGTACTGCAAGGTACCATACCACAAAGGGAAGACTGGGATTGATTTTGGGGGTAATTCCCTCAAAATTTTAGTAATTAGGGGCCATAAAAGGGCAAAAAAACAAGCATTTTTCTAGTTTCAGGACAATAACTTGTGTGTAAGTGTATGGATCTTTATGAAATTGTACTGCAAGGTTCCATATTACATTGGGAAAGCTGGGTTTGAGTTTGGGGGTAATTGCCCTAAACGTTTAGGAATAAGGGGCCAAAAAACAAGCATTTTTCTAGTTTCCAGACAATAACTTGTGTTCAAGTGTATGGATCTCTCTGAAATTGTACTGCAAGGTACCATACCACAAAGGGAAAGCTGGGATTGAGTTTGGGGGTGATGAATCATAAGGGGTTCAAAAAATTGGTGGGGATTTTTTTTTCCTTTTTTTTCTTTAAAATTTTCCATTTTAAATTGGTTATTTCTGATTTATATATAAAAGCAAATAATAATGATATGGTTTGAATAGGTAAATTAAAATTTTTTAAGTTCTTAGACCACTTTCATTCTGTGTGAGAAACCTATGCTGTGTCAAATATTTAATTACAATCCAAATTCAGTGCTGTATCAATCTTGAATGTTGTGTCCATACTTGCCCCAACTGTTCAGGGTTCGACCTCTGTGGTCGTATCAAGCTGCGCCCCAGCGGAGCATTTTATTATTACTTATTTATATGCTTATAGTTGTGTTTTGAAAGTTTAATTAGAGCAAGTTAAAAGTGAATGTTATTTTACCTTTTATAGAATATTGAATGACCTTAAGTAACATGTATTTTTTTTGTCTCTCCTTGATAGAGTCAAAAAACAAGACCTAGGTATGCTGTTTCCAGCAACAATGTTTGCAGCTTCCACAATTTGTTCAAGTTTGTGATTAGGTCAGTTTAATGGGAACCACTAATGGTAATTCAATAATATTTGGTATGCAGTTGTATAAGCATTAGGACATCTCATTTTCATTGAGATTATTTGGCCCTGTCCCCTCAGTCATGGTCAATTGACTTTGAAATTGTTGCTTAGTTTACATGTTAAAGTTAGTGATTAGGTCAGTTTAAGGGGAACCCCTTATGATAAGTCAATGATATTTAGTATGCAGTTGTATAAGCATTAGGACATCTCATTTCCATGGAGATCATTTTGCTTTGCCCCCTCAATCCTGGTCTATTGACTTTGAAACTTTTGCATAGTTTAAATGTTAAGGTTTTTGATTAGGTCAATTTAAGGGCAACCACTAATGGTAAGATATTCGTATGCAGTTTAGCATTAGGACATTTCATTTCTTTGGAGATTATTTGGTCCTGCCCTCTCAGACATGTCAAAGTTTGGTATTCTAATTTTAACATTTACATTTAACTTTTTGTGGCAAGTTGGAACTCAGCTTGTAATATGATGAATACCCTCCAAGTGTATGGCTTGTCGAAATGGGTTTGTAATATGACGAATGCCATTTGGGCATCAAACAGGCCATAGGTTAAAGTCACAGCAGCTATTAAGAGGCTAAATTTTTTGGCAAAATATTGTTTTCATAGAGGTACCTTTTTTACAAAACTTGGTTTTGGTAATGCTCAATGGGATGATTGATTTTGAGGAAACTAGGTCAAAGGTCAAGATGACATCAGCATTTGATAGACTGAAATTGGGGCAAACTTTGGTATTCTGGATACATTTTGAATCATGTGTCTTCCCTTCACCAAAGTTTCAATTAATCATGTCAACAAATTATCAATTGAACTCTGTTCACAATATAAGAGATTAAGTATTGTCCTTTATAAGTAAAGACGGGGCAAAAACATTTTTTAGAATTTGAAACATTACTTTAACAGTACAATTTCTAATCCAGAACTTGTGATATTGATGATGATCAAAAACCTACTCAGTGATAGCATTACCATCATATCAAGTTCTTGTTGGTAATGTTATAATATTTCATTGCAGAGTTTATAGAGAAAGTGCATGACCAATACCAGTCCCTAATTCAAACTCAGAGAAGCCCAAGAGACCCTGTTGTAGTCCCATCAGGCACAGACGACACCAGTATTCATCAGAATAGCCACCATCCAGCAGATGGAGTTGATGCTATGCAATACTTCAGAGCTGTGTTCCCATTATGTGATAGGTCAAATTATAGGTATATCATGCACTGCATTATGCTAAGTCTAACTATAAGCATAATAGGATCATTCTAAAAAATAAGATGATAGACTGGTGTTTAACGCCACTTTCAGCACTATTGTGCTTTTTCGTGGTGGTCAGTTTTTATTGGTGGAGTTTGAAGTTTGAAGTTTCATATGACTTTAAGATTGGAGTCGACTGCATCTGCCACGTGCCAGATTTGAACTCACGACCTCTGATAGTGTTGACCACTCAGCCACTGAGCCCCTATAAAATTAAGAAGATGTAGTATGATTGTCAATAAGACAACTTTCCATCAGAAACCAAATGATGTAGCAGTTAGCAACTATAGGTTCTGTACAGTCATCAAAAATGAGCAAATCCCATACTACATAGCAAACTATAAAAGGCCTGGACATGACAAATGTAAAACAACTCAAGCGAGAAAACTAAAGGCCTGATTTATATTTAAAAAATAATAAACGAAAAACAAATATGATATATACATGTACAGCAACAAATGACAAACGATGAATTACAGGCTTCTAACCCTGGAACATTCACAAACAGAATGCGGCAGGGTTAAACATGTTTGCAAGTACCCAACCCTTCCCTAACTTGGGACAATGGTGTAACAGCACAACATAAGCACAAACTTTAAAAATCAGTTAAAAAAGGCTTTACTCATCAGATCGACACAAAGAAAAAGGCTTTACTCATCAGATCAACACAAAGCAAACAAAAAGACTTAAGACTCAAAGTACCAATCTGAGAGTACTCATGGTTACTGAAAGCTAGTTCAAAGCCAATAACAACTAATAAAAAAATCATGTTTCCAAGACTAATATCAATCAGTACACATCCAATGGGTTTAGTGTAAAGATGTCATAAACAGTCATTGACTACATTATGATTAGTTTAATTTTAACATAACCAGAACATGCATAGACTACAATATGATAGGTCCTACTTTACTAAATCAATGAGTATCTAATTTTAACTCAAGTCTTAGGTGAGATTTCTGAACTGGTCTCCCAGAAAAATAAATATTTTAGATTTTATACACATGTTTATCAGTCTCTAGCCTTAAGGCTTATCCTCTCAGACTTAAGCACTAACTCAATTGTAATACATTGAGAATCTAATTTTTGTCTAGCCTGCTACACATTTTTCCGAATGCAATATAAAGGAATGTGATACTTGTAGTAAAATTTTGATTGTAAAGATTTTCAACTTAAATTAAATTCTTAATCAGTAAAGCAAGAGAAACATTTCAGCATGAACACTCAATGTTTCTACATAAGTATGTTTATGTGGTTACATCCTTTATGGAAAATCTGTATTAATTTATTACATGTATAGTATTTATATAGTAGTATAATGATATTTTATCATATATAGATCAGTCTGAAGCAAAATTTGAGACCTCAGCAATTGAGTCATCTTCTAGTGACATTGTTGTTTTTTTTACTCTCAGACTGGTCAGGTTACTTTTTGATTGCATGCTTGCATGTACTGGTATATAGTCTATTGTATTATACAATCAATACAATTAGTTTAAGCTGGCAAGACATATTTCTGTGTAAAAGCCGGTTTTCCTCAGGCTTTTAGTAATAAAAGAAATAACTGCAATCTAGGGTTCTGTAACTTTTATTCAGACAAAACGAAGTATAACTTTATGAAATTGTAAGTACAGCCCTGTAAAATATAAATGTACTTATAAGTTACAGATAGATAAATCTGTTTACTAAGTAATAATTAAAACTAATGTTCGTAATTCATTATCATGCAAACTTATTTAGCTGCATACTTATGTATCTAGTCACAAAAATATATACTGTAGATACAATAGCCATTACTTGTCTCAATTACAGTTATACTAATTAGACTTAGATAAAATAGTACATGTTCTCATATGCTGTCTCATACCAATGTCTATTATAAATATTACTTGTGTTGGTAACATAAACTACACAAAAAGGTAAGCTGCGTGCTTGGTTAAATCAAAAAGCAAATAAGCACAAAAAGTAACAATATAGCAAAGCAAATATTAAAAACTAAAGCTAAGCGAATCAAGAATACAAATACACTTAGCTTACCTCACATATCGTGCAAGTGGCACTTTTCCATATAAACCATTAGATATCAAATACTACATCTTTGGTAAGGTTTAAATATACCTGTATAAGAAAAATGATTATTATAAATCTCTGTTAAGCATTATTTATTGTTTATAGTACAAACTCATGTTTACTATAAAAATCAATATTAAACCTAGATATCTATTTTTAGCTCTAAGATATATTTACTTTAATTCGATTAACCTTTAAAAATTACTGCATTCATACCGGGCCGCTCGATACGTGCATTCATTCAGTTTTTATACGTAAAGTTTTATCTTTAAATTATTATACCAGATTTAAATAGGTTAATAAAGTATTATTATATCTGATCGTAAAATTCTACTCTTCTTATGTTTTAAATACATTTACGATCTCTTTTGTTATAAAATTTAACACTCGTTCTCGACATTCAATCTAAACATGCATACGTGTAAAATATGAACTATTGGACAGTTATTGCAAAATTAATAAAGAAAGAATAAGACTGACCTTATATAAGAAACTTTCCAATCACTCAGAATTGTTATTTAAGATATTAATTTCTTTAAGTTGTTAAATTGCAGACAGGTAAATATATAGGTGTTGACCACAAGATGTCTTCCCATAAGATCTAGAACAAAGGAATTAAACTGCCAAAAGTACTGACCAATAGAAGAAAATGTACGATAGCGCTCAAATCAACCGTGAAAATAAAGTACTAACTACAGTGAAATCAGACTGAACCAAAACATGAAATGAGAATTCGTCCGTCAATAGTCCATGTCAATAAGTTAAAATAGAATAATACACAATGCTAATCCTTAATTACAAAATGTAATTAATAAGCTAACAATATAACTTTATTCAAATATATATCAATATCAAGTACTAAGAATATAAAAATATACAGAATACATAAAATAACAGGCTATCACATCTGTAATGATAAGTCATTAGTTGACTGATAATTTCAGTCGTGTTGACTCTTGTAAATGTAGTTTTTTTTTCAGTACACCACCAGCAAACAGTTTAAAGGAAATTTTATTTAATGTACCCAGAGTGTCATTTTATGGTTTTTTGATGGCCATGGCAAAGAGTGAGTCAATCAATGATCATATAGGTAAGTGTGAGTAATCTCTCCCTTCAAGATAAAAGGTACATTTAAACAGGTTTGTACTCCAACATAATCAGGGTATGTGTAAATATTAATTCTGTGTAAGATTATGGGTTACCAAAATGAATATCCTCAAGTGCTAATTTTCTATGTGAATGTATACTGTGGCAAACAAAAAATGAAATCAACATTTTATAAATTTCATGTGTCCAAAGAATTTTCCGTATTTACCTTCATCAGGAACATTCAAAGCCGAATATTTGAAAGCCAAGGATGCTGAACTGTACAGACATGGTTTCTTTACAATCAGCGTTAACCCTAGGTCAATGTAAAGTACACATGGTTTCTGTTATGTATTTCATGTTGTGTAAGGGTTAAACCAAGTTCTCCAGTGATTTTAAGAAATGTTGACTTATTATTATTCCTGGGATACTTATTTTCATGGGTATGGGTCACGTGATTAACACAAATACAAATTTCCGAAAGGCTTGTTTGCAGAATTTGTCAAATCAGCTTAATCAAGTAAAAAAACCAGTTTTTCCTCATTCCATAAAATCTGGTACCTATGAGAATAAATGAATCTATAATGCAGTCGAACTAGACATAACTATTCAACTCATTTGAGTCATCCAAGGTCACAAGTTCATCATGTTGCACCATTTCAATATTGTACCTTGTGTTGTCAGCCTGCTATGTAATGGCAGAAAACGTATTTTAATCTAAATCCATATCCATCGACAGTACTTGCAGTATTAAAAAAAAATTATTTCAAAAAACTTGAGACAAAATAGACATTTTACAAAGATAAGGAAATAAGGAAATATAAATTACGGAAGAACTTGCGAAGAAACAAATCATTACAGATGTATAATTTTTCAACTTTCTCCTCAGCCGCTATCTGCTGAGGTCAAGTCTTAAACTTTTAACAAAATTTGATCTTTTTAATTATAAGTTTCATAATTCATTGATCTTTTATGAATTTCTCAGCTTTAGTCTATTAATTCGTACTGTAATGATCTCAGGTTAAATGTGGTCCACAAAAATGATTTTCCGCATGATCAAACATCAAAGTTATTGACAAACAATAAGTGTAACATGCCAATCTGATTGTTATACAAAAAAATTGATTGGCCTAAAACGAATGAGGAAACTTATTTTGAGGTACAATAAAAACATACGATTTCAATATTTTTCGACATAGAAAATATACTTGAGTTAACCAATATTTTAAATTAAGTTCCACTCATCAGAATTAGAAATGCTGTGAACAAACAGGAATTCTGCTGGGACTGACAAAATACCTGGACTTATCCAACTTTTCGACACAACGAGGTTCGACAGTATTTATAACAAAGAATCAGTCATTCAAATTTAAAACAAAAACAAAAAACTTCAATGCTCCTAGCTATTTATACATAAAGATAGTCAATAAATGGTTTGAGCTGTGTTACCGAAGAGCAAGTCTTTAAATATTTTATAGATATGCATATTGATAAAGACACCAAATGTTTTATAGATATGCATATTGATAAAGACACCAAATGTTTCATAGATATGCATATTGATAAAGACACCAAATGTTTCATAGATATGCATATTGATAAAGACACCAAATGTTTTTTTTGTTATTTATAGGTTATAATCATAAGAAGAATAACTTTAGATGTTATATAAGTCCAAAAATAATTTTGTTTATGGTGACATTTTCCACATTTTTTGCAGTTCTAAATCCTAGAACTTTTTTAATTGGTTTGATTTCTAATGTTTAAGTGTACATACAACCTTTAAACTAAAAATAGTTAAAAGTTGTTGCAAATTCTTTTTACCGGTAGTCTTAGTTTTAAACAGTATACATGTAAATCGTGTGATATTTTGCGTAAGAGTAAGATTTTTAAACTTATCATGTTTTGCTATGTTTCAGGTCGACTTCCACCTAAATCTGAACTGTTAGAAGGAGCTGATTCAGAATTGACATCGTAAGAACTTTAAACTTTGCACTCTGCACCTAACTTTCCTCTAATACAGAAAATTTTCTCCAAGCAGAACCTTTCACTTCCTTGTGGACCATGTATATATAACTCAAAATTAATATTATTTTGCAAATTTTTGATGTGTGTATATAATTATATAATTTACGACAGAAAATGTCAAATTTTAATTCATATATACATGTACATTGTATATCATTATGGAAAAAAAGATAGGAACTGTCATACTATGTGATTGAACAAATATTTTTTACTACTCATATATGCCATTTTTAAGTAATTGATTTGAGAACTTTTTAAATAAAATAAAATGAACATCATCAACAAATATACAAATTATAAGGCAAACTTTTTTTTATTTGTTGGATTATGGATACGCCAAACCAATTTTTCCAATTATCAAGGAAAAATAAAAAATATAAACTTCATGCTTCTTTTATTACTGCCTATACTCTACCATATTCATTTTCCCTGAAATATAAAAAAAAATCATCTGCTTAAAAAGCATTTATAACTAAAGATTTATATCAAAATATATTAAGGTAGCTGGGGTGTCTAAATGTTCGACTATAGATTTTTCTTTAACTTCTATGACAGACTTCTGGCTCAATGTACATTCAAATTTCAATATAAAAACTGGGGGTCACAGACCTTGTTTTTTCTTTAAAATACATTGAATTTAACGAAATGGGTTATATAGGGGAAACTTACTTCTTCTTTATTGAAGAGTCATTAAACGATAGAATTGGTTAAATTTCAATGAGAGAATTGCCTTTCATAAATAAATCTGAAATATCAAAAAAAAATAGGTCACAGGCCTTATTTTCTTGAAAAATTCAAAAAACACAAATTGTGCTATCAAATTCAATATGATTATTTGCCCTTGATTTTAAAAGGATTTTTTCTGAAAATTATTATTACACTTAACGACACTTAATTTTTTAATAGTTTAATCTTAATATTTCAAGTTTTAGATGTTTCTGATGAAAAATGAATGAAACTTGGTAAAACAATTTTAAACCAAAAAACTATTTTTGCAACATGCCCAGAAGGGATGCTCAGAAAAAGACACCCATCTACCTTAAGGACTTCTTAATTATTTGTTTGAATAATGGCACAAAAAGCTATGCATTATTATATTAGTAAAAGTTTTTCCAGTCATAGAGGGTTACTTTCATATCTCTTTTAACTTATAAAGCTCTCTTTTACTTTAAGCACTACCATTTTAAATCTTAAAATCCAAACTTAAGTGCAGATTAAGAAAGGAGAGAGAGTTAGTGGCTAGCACAATCAATAACTAACCAATGTATTGGGAAAATGCAAGATGAGTTGAAATATTCTTTTCAGAGCTGACATGTTATAAGATAGAATATGATTTTTGAAGTCCAGCATTTGCCTTATACATAGGTGTCAACTCTCCAGATATCCTTGCAAGCCTACCTATATTTTTTAGCCAAAGTGTGTAAATCACACTCTGAAGATTTGTCTGCTATGGAGAGAAAAACTCTCTTTCCCCCTAACATGGCAATTATTGTGTGTGTACATTCTTCAAAATAAGACAAATTGTGGCACAGTTATAATTAGTTTACACAACACAAGGCTTTCAGTGAATTTGTTTTATTTGATTAATTCCATAATGAAATTCATATGAAGGTTGCTTGCAAGAATTTTTTAAACATTGATAAATTAATAGCAGAAAAAAATAAGATAACAAAAACAAAAGCAGGCCATAGGTTCTATGGCGAATATATCATTTAAAAAAACATTAGGGCGAGATCTCTAAATTTTGAGGTGAGAAAAGTTGACATGTATGATTTGAAATATTTCATTAAACCAAATAAGAATTGGAGCATTAAATTTCATGAAATTTGATGCACAAATTTAATGCGGATAGCCTTCTTTAATGGTGATGGTATGCTTTATGAAAGATAATGGTAAAATTTGATCCTGAGATTCTTTCATTTTTCAGAATATTAACACTTTTTGATAGCTGGCCCAGACATGAATATCTTTTCAACACCATTACATCTGTAAATTTCATATTTTTATTTGTGACTCTATATTAGCATAAATCTCATATAGCAGACTTTTAGTAACAGTAAGTAATTCAGTTCATTTTGATTAAAGAGGCAGTTCACAATAGAATATATGGTTTTCACCAGAAAATAAATTGGCAGTTTTTTTATTTTTTCAAGAATATAGTACAATTTGTATACATGTATAAAATATGAATGAAATGTTTTTTGGTGCCAATCTTAAAGGGGCATTAGCTACGAGATATTAAAAAATTAAAATATGACTTTGATTTGGTTTATCATTAATGAAAGTGAAATAGTGGAATAATAATTTACTGTTAGCAGCCAGTTTGGTTCAATTTTGTCATAATAAGCTAAGTACATCACTGATGAATTATTCACTTGCAAGTTTACTGATTCGATCCACAAAAACTCCTTCTTATACAGGTAAAAACGATGATTACGGTAACATATTTGTTTAACCTTTAATATAAAATCAAACAGATCTAGAAAAATCCAATTGCACGCATTTGCTATCTATTTATATCTATGTTTATGTTTATATCGGGTTATATGGCCGTGGGCAGTCTTTCGGAAGTCACTTCGATGGTTAATTAGATGGTGTCTAGACTAAAATACACACAAAATGCGGATACATACTATCCAGTCCATGCATTGTTAATCGCTCATTTTTTGACTTTTTGTAAGTTTGATATACGTTTTAGTAGGTTATAAATCAAATATGAGAATTTGAGTCAAATCGGTGATCATGAATTTGACAGCTAATGCCCCTTTAACACTCTTTTCACAATAATTAAGTTTTTTCAAGGAGTTGAATTTTTCAGTCAGACAAAACTATGAAATCTTGCCCATATTCATATATTAACCTAATTAATGTTCAGGCATACAATGTTCTATTGAATAATAACCAGTGATAACATGTGTTTAATAAAACAACATTGAATAGTGTTTGACCTACAACGTTCACAAATTAAGCTCAGAAAAGAAACCAAATTTATTTTGTCCTCTGTTAGAGATCATTAAATATATATGTAAGAATGTGAAGCAATCCTTCAAATGACATGAAACATATTTTTTCATTGATATCTATAAATTACACAGCTTTTAAATTATCACTGCAAAACAAGAAATTCATAGATACTACCTCTTTAACTTCTCAGCTTACCTCACCTCAGATCTCAAGATTAATTTACAACTGGTTCTTTATGCAATAGATATCATGGCATGGTGTTAGTAAACATAATTATGATGTTTAAAACAAAAAGTAGATGATAAAAAATTACTTTATCACATCATCATGTAAGGTTTGGTAAATCTGTCGTGATAGATCTAGCAAAACATTTCATAAACTAACATGTTTTATATTGACCAAGTTTGAAGTTGTTTTTTAATTCCATTTTTCAGGGTAGCTGTTTGAAGGATAAGCATATATAATTATTAATGAGGATGGGATGTGGTGTTGGGCTGCTTCTTTGTTTGACATTTTGTTTCGTCCTTTAAAAAATTGTCTCAGTTAAATTTTTTACCATTGTGTTATTTTGCATTGTGTGCTGATTGTAAATTTAGAATAAAATTGCTTAAAGGAATTTCAGTTCTCTTAAATGCAAAACCTGTCTTTCCTAGCAAGTACGAACTTATTATTTAATCTTAATCTAAACAGCTGTTCATACATTCAGGATCATGTTTATACAGAAAAAAGTAAAACGGATAAATATCCAAATTTGTACATACTAATATTTCATGAGTTTCCATATTTACATATCTTAGGAATTATAAAAGACTTATAGCATCCACCAAAATTATTGTGATGAACCAATTTCAAGTTTCAAATTTTGTTTTATCCATCCATATCTCATGCTAATGTTACTTGCCAGTATAAAATTTAACTTAAATTCTTCAGCCATAGCGCTTGTTGCTAAAGGCACAGACTTTGCATTTCAGAATAATAGATTCGCTGTAAAAATTGTTGGTTATTATAATTTTTCATCTGAAATCCAACATAGAGCAGCGCTATAAGTTAAAATAAGAATAAGTCACTTAAAAAAAATATGATAGAATAGATGCCAAAATGCCTAATATATAAACCTTAATGTTCATTCATGTATGAAAAGATGGATACAGATGAATGAGTACAATGATACCTAGCTCAAAGCTCTCAAATGCAGCTCAAATTTTTCTTTTCCTTTGGAAGAGGCATTTATATACACTGTTATTGTACCATGCTTATACAGATAATGTTAAAAAAAACATGCTCACATACTGCTTTACCATGTTTGTGTGACCAAATATGTCTTAGCCTGGTTAAAAGCAGGTGCATTTATATGTATACTTTGACTTTTGGACAGACATATGATTTCATAAATTAAGTTTGTGCTATTGCTTCCATTTAGAAGTCCTTGCATGTTAAACTTTTTTATAATCAAATGCTTTCCCCAATGAAATGGAATTATTGAAAGCTAATTTCCCAAATCACCAGTTGAATGTTTAGTTCAAAATAACATCCAACCTTCCTACTGACAAAACATCATGGCAGCATTTGCTGATTAGTAAAAGCCAGGGATTAATATCAACAGATCATTTTCTACAAAATTTCAATGATATGATCCTCATTTAGATATATTCAATGTCACAAAGGCTCCATCAAAAGATAAAGATGGGTTTTATATGTTTACTTTGGTGTAAATGGCATTAAACTTAAGGAAAATAATGTATTTTACAATTTCAGCGTCTTTTGAAATTATACACAAATTGGAACTTGAAATTTATCATGGTGAAATATGCAATTAAATAAAAAAGTAGAAGTTAGTTGGATTTTTTTCATTAACTAAACACACACATGCAGATGCAAGTGAGCATTGCAGACTATTTGAATCCTCTAGTTGAATAATACATTTTGTATATTTAAACTGTGTGATTGTTTTTACTTTTCTATAGCATTAAATAATTTGTAGAAATGTTAATGTGTTTTAATAGGGACTCATCAAAGATATATAGATTTCACCACTGCAACAAGTGTGTTACGATATTTCTCAACTCGAGACAGTTAAATTTTAATATTTAAAGCGTGAGGCTTGCCGAGCTTTTAAATAATTAAAATTTAAGTGTTGAGAGTGGAGAAATATCATAATACACGAGTTATAGTGGTGGAATCTGTTTCTCTAATGATTTTTATCCTTCCTTTTCAAAGATTTACAGAAAGTTGTGTTCTTTATATGGGACGTCATCAGGCATGGTTGCCTTTTTTCATGACGTCACAATAGGAAATTCAGAAGAAACCAAGAAAATTTGACGTCATAATCAAATTTCGACCAATAATTTGGCGAGAACAGATATTTCACCAGTGAGGAGAAATATTTTTCTCACACAAATCAAGAAATGTGAAAATAGCGCAAAAATTAGAGAAACCAGGCTTATAATTAGGTAGGCTGATAAAATTCATCAGTTGTGCTCAAATCAAAAGAAAAGCAAAAATTCTGAAAAATGTGCCAAATACAGCTAGTATATACAGAATAACATTAATGTATGGTAGCTAGGCTAGATTAACAATGATTAGTTCACCTCAGACATGTGTAATGATTTTTATCCTACAATCAGCTAACTATTGTACAAATAACAGGTACACAAATAAATGTTTACTGTATTTGTACTTGTACAAATAAAGTCTCCTGTTACCCCGCTTCCATGTTGAGCAAGAGGTAATGTGGATATTTCTTTTTGCGTACCAGTTCATTTTGGGGTCCTCTTCGCGGTCCGCGTTTAAACTATGTCGATTTCTTTGGATAATCAGAGACAATGATTTAGATTTTAACAACTAAAGTTTCAAGTTTTGGGTGTAAATTTCAGGATAAAAACAATATATGTACATTGTCGGAAAATATAAAATTGATTTGTACTCGCTACGAAACAGGAGAAAAGCTCGGCGAGCCTCGCTTTTCGTCCTGTTTCTAAAGCTAATACAAATAAATTTTATATTTTCCGACAATGTACATATATTGTATATAAGAACTTAACAGTCTTTGTGTTAACTAAATCAATCTTTATGCGGTGTTTCACAAACGAGGCAAATTTAAGCCAGATTAAAAAAAGAAAGTGAAAGTTGAAATGTAATTCATAATGTGAAATAACTAGTTAAATAAGGGATATAAACAATCATCCTTAGTGTCAAGAAGGAGGTGAATGAATGGGATAAACAAATATTTTAAATCATCAAATTAAGAGACTCCTTTGGGGATATAAAGGAAGATTTTAGTTCATCAATTCAGGTCACACTGCTTTAGGGATTCAAAGCTACATTGTAGTTCATCAATTAGGGAGACACTGCTTTTGGGATTCAAAGCTACATTGTAAATCATCAATTAAGGAGAAACTGATTTGGGGATATAAAGAAACATTGAAGTTCATCAATTTGGAAGACACTGCATTGATATTAAGAGAACATTTCAGACCATCAGTTAAGGAGACACTGCTTTGGGAATATAAATCAATATTTTACATCTTCAAGGAGAGGAATTTAAACAAATCAAGGGTTACTGAGAAATAAAATTGAGAATGGAAATGGGGAATGTGTCAAAGAGACAACAACCCGACCATAGAACAGACAACAGCAGAAGGTCACCAACAGGTCTTCAATGCAGCGAGAAATTCCCGCACCCGGAGGCGTCCTTCAGCTGGCCCCTAAACAAATATATATACTAGTTCAGTGATAATGAACGCCATACTAAACTCCAAATTGTACACAAGAAACTAAAATTAAAAATAATACAAGACTGACAAAGGCTAGAGGCTCCTGACTTGGGACAGGCGCAAAAATGCGGCGGGGTTAAACATGTTTATGAGATCTCAACCCTCCCCCTATACCTCTAGCCAATGTAGAAATGAATGTCTGTATAAATTTGATTAAATTAGATTTATATTTTTTTTTATTTTAGCTTAAACCTAGATGATTTAGCTCATTTAATTATTACATTTTTTCCAGCTATCTAATAACAAAGTTATTTTTATGCAATACATATATATATTTATTTTGCATGTTGTGCAGTTTGGTATTCATTGTGCAAAGACTAGAAAGAAATGTACAGACATATTAACTATTTTCCAATCATTTTAGAAGCAATACTTCTAGAAAGACCTTGTTTTAGGGATGCCTTGTTCAAGACTTGAAACTGGCCCGGCATGTCTGAAAAATATTTGAAAACCAAAAGGTATTCTATAGATTTCACAAACTGCAATAAACTGGTATGTAAATTCAATTTCACATAGAGATGAAACATGAAATATGAGTCACTATGCTATTACAATTATAGTCATTTGGACAAGTAATTGTACTCCTCCTCTCTGATACTGGGTAAGGCAAGGTACGTAGGTTTTAGTCACAAGTTTTGGTGAAAGGTTTTATCAATCATGACAGTATAGGTGTTAGCACATAGTTAGTTACCATAAATAACAATAAGAGGAGTTGGGTGATGAATTTTTCATATTCAAATATATACACACTGTGCAGGAGAAAATTTTCTAGTAGAGGCTTTTCCTTAACCAATTCACTTTTATATTAGCTTTGCACGTTTACTAACCTACAGCTAACATAATTTAGTTTATATAATTGATATTGAACACATATTTACATTTTGTCAATTTTGTAGGCTGTTGTATTACCCATTTGATTTTTATTTTGATGGAGATTCAAACCTTTTCATTTGGGAATTATATCTTACGTATATATTGGTTTGTGACCCAGATTTGTTTTCACTTATTCGATTTATGACTATTGAACAGCAGTATACTACTGTTGCCTTTATTTATGTATATAATAAATGAATGATTTTCTCATGTTAATGAAATTTGCTGTAGAATGAAATTGTTTCTCCTTATTTACGACGTGTAAATAAAATCCCCATAGAATAAGTTTCAGCTGTTAGTTATATTTACATTTTACAACAATATAAGATTGTTTCTTGTGTAATAAAAGTTAAGATCATTTATTCTCAAATTTCTATTGATTATACAATTTTGATTTTTTTCCTCTTTTGTATCAGATTTGATAAGTAGCACAGGTTTTGTTTATGTCAAAAGTTGTTTTTGTTTAGCTCATCTGGCCCAATAGGCATGTGAGCTATTACCATCACTTGCTGACCTTCGTCGTCATCATCATTGTAGTTGTAAACTTTTTCAAATATCTTCTCCTTTTAAACTACTGAACCAATAACTTCTAAACTTATGATGATAGATTATGGTATCTGGTATAAAGATAATAATAACATAAACGGTACCAATTTGTCTGCACCAGATGCGCATTTCGACAATCAATGTCTCTTATTTTATATGATTCTTGTAGGTTGTGTTTTTATCCAAGTCGGTCAACCATAGATGGGTCAACAAACATGGCTGCCTTGGCTAATAATAGTACATAGGGGGAAAATGCATTAATTTTCTTATATTATTTTGAAAACCATTATAGATGTAGAAAATCTGACAGGGCAGATATGATCAGAATGTCAAGATCTACCTACTTCCCATTTCCACCAAAATTTTCAGAGACTCCTCAAAGGAGCTATTGTCTTACACAGAGATTTTTGACTAATTTTCTTGTTTTGCCTATTATCTCAAAAACTGTAATAGATACAATAGAAACTGTAAGCTTCAAAAATGATCAGCAATACAAAACCTACAAAAATACTTATATATGAAAAAGGGAAAAAAACAAAGTAATAAAAGCAAAAAATTAAAAACTCTTGACTCGATTTGGGACAAAAACATCCAATAAATAGAATATGTACTGATTTATTACTGCACAAATATGAAGATAAATAAAACTGCAGGTTTCAAATACTTGTTTATTTAAGAGTTATTATGTGTGAGCTCATAACCTTCAGGGTAAAATATTTGAGTTATCTTTAAAATCTAAAACCACCGATATTTCAAAAAAAAAAGTTGCCAGAAAAGAATTCTTACATGTCTATAATTAAAGAACTGTATTAAGAGTTGCATTTTCCTGTCCGGATTATTGACTTTTTGTGTTGTTCTATTTCCTATGGATATGTATTGTGAATTAAATGAAATGTGGGGACGCATATGAAACACCAACCCTACAACACAATAATATACCAGAAAAGCAACACTAATTTGCTTTGACCAGTATCCTGTCACTACATGGCACAAGGGACCAAATGTTTGTAAAAATACTTGTTGAGAAGATGATTGCTTCAGATGTTTATTTCTCATTGGGTTGTTCAACAACACTAATAAAAATATCCAGTCACTCTATATGCTGACACCAGATGCATTGACTGTCTACATTCACTACATTAAATTTGTTTTTGAGTTGGAGGTTAGTAGATGTGATTGTGTTCATAACACGTTCTAAAGGTTAGGTTACAAAATAGTTACATTTGTAACAGATGATCTCATTGGAGAACCTGATAACAAATTGCAGAACCCTATTAAATCCGATTCTCTTTATGTTTAATCATTAATTTGTTAATGGTGTGATTATACTTCTTGTATTGTAACTGTGACTACACCAGTCAAACATTCACATCATATAAACATATAATACAAGTTGTTAAATTTGTTTATTTATAGGGAAGCTGATTCTAGGTAAAACATAGTGCTTTATTTTCTACTGCCATTTTATTTTTAGATTTGTTACCTCTTCCAAACTAATATTCAGCTAACTAAATTCACATTGTTATGTTTTGATTCTAAATGTTCAGTGATCTTAATCTTATTCTCACCAATATAATGGTGATTGTATTATAATGCCACAGATTCCACCATAAGCTGTTAATGTTCTTGTCTCTCCTGCAACGAAAGTCTCAGAAAGTGAGACATAGGGATTGCTTTTCCGGCGACGGCTGCGGCGGTGGCGTCATCAATTGTTAAGTTTTCTGCTTAATTTAGTTTGATAGGAAATACTTGTGATAGATCATTGATATTCAATACAAAGTTGCATTACTATCAGTACATATCAGTTTGACAACTATTTTGAGGCCCTGCCCCCTGAGTCATGGTCCAGTGACTTTGAATGAATTAGCCATTTTCAATGTTAAGTTTTCTGCTTGAGTTAGTTTGATAGGATCTACTTGTGATAGATCATAGATATAATAGCCATTTATATCTATGGATAGATCAATGATATTTTGTATGAAGTTGCATTACTATCAGTACATATCTGTTTGACAACTATTTTGAGGCCCTGTATTCTAGGTCATGGTCCAGTGACTGAATTAATTAGCAACTTTCAATGTTAAGTTTTCATCTTAAGTCAGTTTGATAAGAACTGCTTGTGACAGATCAATGATATTTTGTATAAAGTTGCATTACTATCAGTACATTTCAGTTTGTCGACCATTTCTAGGCCCTTCCCACAAGATCATGGTCCAGCGACTTTGAATTAATAAGCAATGTTGCTGTCCATCAGATTGTCAGGCTTTTTCTGAATTTTATGCGGACAGGTGAGACATATCTCTGTGTCAACAGTTTATTATTTTTTCCATTTATTTTATAGGATAATAAGCTAAATTAGATTTTATACTCCAGCTGAATGTGTTCCCTGCTAGATACGATAAAGTATCCCTGTGTTCGTTACTCTCCTGTCACTTTAAACATTCGGCCCTATTTTTATTGTCATTGTTTAATTAGATAAATGAAGGTCGTCTCCTAACAAGAAACAAATCAAGAGACAAAAATGAATGAGTATTTTGAACACCCCTGACACATAGAATTAATCTGATATTGCATGGGAATTTCAACTTAAAATTTATTAATCAAATTTGAACTTGATTCAGGGACTTTCTATAAAAGTTAGCATAGAAAGTCCCAGCTTGATTCTACCAAATTGTTGATTCATGCTGAACATAGACAGTTTTATGAGTTCTGTTGTATCAGAGACATATATGGTTGTATCCTTTGTTCAAATTAAAATACAACATATAGAGAGTAATGTGCTGCTATATATGAACGTCTCTGATATGAAGTAAGAACTATAAGTCTGTTAATCAGTCTTGAAAGTTTTATCGCAATATGATCTTTAACAGAAGTGATTATTTCGTAGACTGTTTAGTTGAGAGTAATTTGGCTAAACCTTAACTTGAGAGTATCCAACACAGGGTTAAAACGTTATTGTATCTAGATTCTAGTTCGTCATGCGCATATTTAGCGAATCATGAATGCATGCGTATATATATACGCACGTGATCCGACCACTTATATGATTGACAAATTTTGTTACGAGAAAACGAAATATTTTAAAACAAACTACTTATTGTACTTATCGAAGGCATATTCCCTGGACCTCAGTCCTGGAATTTGACAATTCAGTATCTCTTCAGAATTATCACTTCCATTCTATTACATCTTCCAGAAAAAACAAACTAACGAGATTTATATAATTCTTCTACACATCAGATGACTTGTTGAACATTTCTGCAAGATTCTTGATGAACGAACACCATCAACACAATACGAATCTGGCAAGCAGAGTATATATTAATCTCCGATGAAAAAAAACTTTTTTAAATTAATATGTTCTAACAAATTGGAGCTGTTAGTAAGAATGTTTGTCCTTTGTCAAAAAACAAAATGAACAATAGAAATAGTTACATCTATATATGTAGTTAAAACAAAACATATTTTTTTCGAAATGTAAACGAAAAATATCAAATGCAGACTTGCATAAATAAGCTCTTCTGAACTCTGAAGGATGGACCGAGAGATTCTATTCCTCGACATTTTACATAGCCTTGGCAGTTCCTACCTTTTTATAATATTGAACTCATTTTACTTCTTATTATTAACCTAAATGTAACATAGAATATAATTAAGTACTAAGTATCTTGTAAAATGAATTAACTTTTGTTTTCCTCATATAAAACGTTAATACAAAATATTAATGCGAATTTGTAACAATAAAAATTGGGTGAGTACATTACAATAGTCATTGGTGAGTACATTACAATAGTCATTTACTTAAATATAATTACGATTAAGTTACCGTAAGTAAGAAGCATGGTTCTGTTCAGTGTTCTGTGTGATATTCAAATTGATTAACATCTTTATATCACCAACCAAACAACACAAGACAACTTAAATTCATCACAATGTAGATTGAACAGGGTATGGTGAATTTATTACAATGTAGATTGAAAAAGAGTATGATGAATTCATTACAACAGTTGTTTAGAAGAAGTTTTAAGACGGGTGAATGTACAATCAAAAGTGTTCACCATTTATGGAACCACACAGTTTTACATGGCTTACTTTACATCTCAGCTGATTGTCAATACTGTCGTCAATGGAAACGCGTTAAATAAGTTCACGTTACAGTAGTTGGGTCACGTCATAGATATTTTTTTTAAATTTTGCATGCAGCTGCGGAAAATAGAACGAACTGAAAATCGAAAAAATGCCTTTACCTATATTTTTTTTTCTGAATTATTGAAGAATGGATCCTTTCAAATAGTTATAAATTTGCATAGAAAGAAAATAAAATCGACGAAAACGTTCTTCGCCAATTGTATGCGCTTACATATTTGGTCGGAATGCTTGGTTTTCATTGCTTTCCATCTTCGTAATTGATTAGGCTTTCCAACTGTTTTGATTCGTGCGCCACGGATGAGTCGTAGGTAGACGAAACGCGCGCGAGTACTAAATTATAACCTGGTGTCTCTGAACCAAGTGGTGTTCATATAAAAATCATTATCATACATTTTTTTAGTTTTTTTTAACGGGTCATGATATTTGTAAGGCACGATAATTTGTCTGTGCGGTTTGTACAAATACGCATTTGCGACTGGTCTGATATGGGAGGCTGACTGCAAGGCACTTGTTTTGAGAATATCAATCTCTCTACTGAAAACACCAGGGTATGATGAATTTATTACAATGTAGATTGAAAAAGAGTATGATGAATTCATTACAACAGTGTTTAGAAGAAGTTTTAAGACGGGTGAATGTACAATCAAAAGTGTTCACCATTTATGGAACCACACAGTTTTACATGGCTTACTTTACATCTCAGCTGATTGTCAATACTGTGGTCAATGGAAACGCGTTAAATAAATTCACGTTACAGTAGTTGGGTCACGTCATAGATATTTATAAAATTTTGCATGCAGCTGCGGAAAATGAAATGAACTGAAAATTCGAAAAAATGCCTTTACCTATATTTTTTTTTCTGAATTATTGAAGAATGGATCCTTTCAAATAGTTATAAATTTGCATAGAAAGAAAATAAAATCGACGAAAACGTTCTTCGCCAATTGTATGCGCTTACATATTTGGTCGGAATGCTTGGTTTTCATTGCTTTCCATCTTCGTAATTGATTAGGCTTTCCAACTGTTTTGATTCGTGCGCCACGGATGAGTCGTAGGTAGACGAAACGCGCGCGAGTACTAAATTATAACCTGGTGTCTCTGAACCAAGTGGTGTTCATATAAAAATCATTATCATACATTTTTTTAGTTTTTTTTAACGGGTCATGATATTTGTAAGGCACGATAATTTGTCTGTGCGGTTTGTACAAATACGCATTTGCGACTGGTCTGATATGGGAGGCTGACTGCAAGGCACTTGTTTTGAGAATATCAATCTCTCTACTGAAAACACCAGGGTATGATGAATTTATTACAATGTAGATTGAAAAAGAGTATGATGAATTCATTACAACAGTGTTTAGAAGAAGTTTTAAGACGGGTGAATGTACAATCAAAAGTGTTCACCATTTATGGAACCACACAGTTTTACATGGCTTACTTTACATCTCAGCTGATTGTCAATACTGTCGTCAATGGAAACGCGTTAAATAAATTCACGTTACAGTAGTTGGGTCACGTCATAGATATTTATAAAATTTTGCATGCAGCTGCGGAAAATGAAATGAACTGAAAATTCGAAAAAATGCCTTTACCTATATTTTTTTTTTCTGAAATATTGAAGAATGGATCCTTTCAAATAGTTATAAATTTGCATAGAAAGAAAATAAAATCGACGAAAACGTTCTTCGCCAATTGTATGCGCTTACATATTTGGTCGGAATGCTTGGTTTTCATTGCTTTCCATCTTCGTAATTGATTAGGCTTTCCAACTGTTTTGATTCGTGCGCCACGGATGAGTCGTAGGTAGACGAAACGCGCGCGAGTACTAAATTATAACCTGGTGTCTCTGAACCAAGTGGTGTTCATATAAAAATCATTATCATACATTTTTAAAAATTTTTTAACGGGTCATGATATTTGTAAGGCACGATAATTTGTCTGTGCGGTTTGTACAAATACGCATTTGCGACTGGTCTGATATGGGAGGCTGACTGCAAGGCACTTGTTTTGAGAATATCAATCTCTCTACTGAAAACACCAGGGCATGATGAATTTATTACAATGTAGATTGAAAAAGAGTATGATGAATTCATTACAACAGTGTTTAGAAGAAGTTTTAAGACGGGTGAATGTACAATCAAAAGTGTTCACCATTTATGGAACCACACAGTTTTACATGGCTTACTTTACATCTCAGCTGATTGTCAATACTGTGGTCAATGGAAACGCGTTAAATAAATTCACGTTACAGTAGTTGGGTCACGTCATAGATATTTATAAAATTTTGCATGCAGCTGCGGAAAATGAAATGAACTGAAAATTCGAAAAAATGCCTTTACCTATATTTTTTTTTCTGAATTATTGAAGAATGGATCCTTTCAAATAGTTATAAATTTGCATAGAAAGAAAATAAAATCGACGAAAACGTTCTTCGCCAATTGTATGCGCTTACATATTTGGTCGGAATGCTTGGTTTTCATTGCTTTCCATCTTCGTAATTGATTAGGCTTTCCAACTGTTTTGATTCGTGCGCCACGGATGAGTCGTAGGTAGACGAAACGCGCGCGAGTACTAAATTATAACCTGGTGTCTCTGAACCAAGTGGTGTTCATATAAAAATCATTATCATACATTTTTTTAGTTTTTTTTAACGGGTCATGATATTTGTAAGGCACGATAATTTGTCTGTGCGGTTTGTACAAATACGCATTTGCGACTGGTCTGATATGGGAGGCTGACTGCAAGGCACTTGTTTTGAGAATATCAATCTCTCTACTGAAAACACCAGGGTATGATGAATTTATTACAATGTAGATTGAAAAAGAGTATGATGAATTCATTACAACAGTGTTTAGAAGAAGTTTTAAGACGGGTGAATGTACAATCAAAAGTGTTCACCATTTATGGAACCACACAGTTTTACATGGCTTACTTTACATCTCAGCTGATTGTCAATACTGTCGTCAATGGAAACGCGTTAAATAAATTCACGTTACAGTAGTTGGGTCACGTCATAGATATTTATAAAATTTTGCATGCAGCTGCGGAAAATGAAATGAACTGAAAATTCGAAAAAATGCCTTTACCTATATTTTTTTTTTCTGAAATATTGAAGAATGGATCCTTTCAAATAGTTATAAATTTGCATAGAAAGAAAATAAAATCGACGAAAACGTTCTTCGCCAATTGTATGCGCTTACATATTTGGTCGGAATGCTTGGTTTTCATTGCTTTCCATCTTCGTAATTGATTAGGCTTTCCAACTGTTTTGATTCGTGCGCCACGGATGAGTCGTAGGTAGACGAAACGCGCGCGAGTACTAAATTATAACCTGGTGTCTCTGAACCAAGTGGTGTTCATATAAAAATCATTATCATACATTTTTAAAAATTTTTTAACGGGTCATGATATTTGTAAGGCACGATAATTTGTCTGTGCGGTTTGTACAAATACGCATTTGCGACTGGTCTGATATGGGAGGCTGACTGCAAGGCACTTGTTTTGAGAATATCAATCTCTCTACTGAAAACACCAGGGCATGATGAATTTATTACAATGTAGATTGAAAAAGAGTATGATGAATTCATTACAACAGTGTTTAGAAGAAGTTTTAAGACGGGTGAATGTACAATCAAAAGTGTTCACCATTTATGGAACCACACAGTTTTACATGGCTTACTTTACATCTCAGCTGATTGTCAATACTGTCGTCAATGGAAACGCGTTAAATAAATTCACGTTACAGTAGTTGGGTCACGTCATAGATATTTATAAAATTTTGCATGCAGCTGCGGAAAATGAAATGAACTGAAAATTCGAAAAAATGCCTTTACCTATATTTTTTTTTTCTGAAATATTGAAGAATGGATCCTTTCAAATAGTTATAAATTTGCATAGAAAGAAAATAAAATCGACGAAAACGTTCTTCGCCAATTGTATGCGCTTACATATTTGGTCGGAATGCTTGGTTTTCATTGCTTTCCATCTTCGTAATTGATTAGGCTTTCCAACTGTTTTGATTCGTGCGCCACGGATGAGTCGTAGGTAGACGAAACGCGCGCGAGTACTAAATTATAACCTGGTGTCTCTGAACCAAGTGGTGTTCATATAAAAATCATTATCATACATTTTTTTAGTTTTTTTTAACGGGTCATGATATTTGTAAGGCACGATAATTTGTCTGTGCGGTTTGTACAAATACGCATTTGCGACTGGTCTGATATGGGAGGCTGACTGCAAGGCACTTGTTTTGAGAATATCAATCTCTCTACTGAAAACACCGAAGTAAAACTCTTCATTAGAGGCATTTTTTAACAAAATGTCCTATTAGTTTCATCAGAGACAAATATACACATTGTGTATATATGTCTCTGGTTTCATATAATAAATTGTTAATTCCAGATTTCAATATCGTAGTTTAATGCTTTCTTACTTAAACGTAATTAGTAAAATTATTATTGTGTCAATTTTTTTATGGTTGAACATGGCTCAATGTTGTGACTTGGCGTGTCTTTGGGGTCTTGCCTAGTATGAAACGATTTGACCTGAGAGGACTATCATACAACCGTACGGCATTCAACAAACGAGAAAAACTCATACCGTATAGTCGGCTATTAAAGGCCCCGACTTAAAAAAAAATATGAAACAATTCAATTGAGAAAAATAACGGCCAAATTTATAACAAAACAACTTACGAAAAACAAATATGACCGACATGAACCAACGACAACCACTGAACTACAGGCTCCTGAAAAAAAGTTGGAGTATTAGTACAGAAGTATTAGCATAGAGAACCGATTGGGCTACACAGAAATTCCTGCAGGTGTTTATTATATTTGATGGCCCAACGACTGTATAGGTAAATGGATATTGGACAGGTAAAATAATTGATTATAATTTATGATTTGTTCGTTGTGTAGGCTTAGTTAAGTTAAATACCTCTTAATGTGTATCTGTTTAGAAAGTACTTTGACTTGCCCTGTCATTCCAAATAATTTTTGATTTTAATGCAGTATATCCTAGTACAATTTATCATTTATAATATAACAAAAATTATTATTTATGTTTCAGTCCTACTATTCGTCTAAAAGCTCGTTTAGGACAAACACCTTCATCTAGTCCGGAAACGGCTCCAGTTTCTCAAAACCATGCCCAGAATGTATATTCAACCAAGTCATCGCATACAGTCACATCTCGTCCACCTTCGGCAGCTCGAGCAAAGACTTTGGCGGGTAAAGGAAATCGGGCCCCAGTTGTGAAAAAGAAGGAGAGTTCTGATGAAAGCAGTGATAGTGATACAGATAGCAGTGATGATACGATTTGAGAATATTTTGACATCATATCAATCAGTCTGTGCACGCTGATTATTCTGCATTTATTTTTCACCCCACACGAATTTACGATACGGTTTCCAATGTTTGGTTTTCTATCGATCCGTTGTTCCTTAATATTTTATAATATTTGAGATTTAACTCTTCAAAGGATTAAATTAACAGCATTAGGTCCCATCAGTTCAATCATGAGTATGCAAAGACGTCATTTGGCCAAATACAATCTTTTCAGAGGTTCTATAGAATGAGAAATTTTTTCTTACTCCTCAAATGTTTATTAAGTTTTTTCTCTTAATTTATTATGTTATGTAGAATACATGTAAGTAAAGAATGCTGATACTGATGTTGTCACCATAAAAATAAATATACATGTATATTTATTTTATTGTTTTAATTCTCGAGTTGAAAATCGGTAAACATTCGAACTCGTACAAACAATATTTGTATTTAAACAAAACTTTTAATATAAAAATAAGAAGATGTGGTATGATTGCCAATGAGACAACTCTCCACAAGAGACCAAAATGACATAGAAATTAACAACTAAAGGTCACCGTGCGGCCTCAACAATGAGCAAAACCAATACCGCATAGTCAGCTATAAAAAGCCCCGAAATGACAAATGTAAAACAATTCAAACGTGAAAACTAACGGCCTGATTTATGTACAAAACAATGAACGGAAAACAAATATGATATACAGCAACAAACGACAAACACTGAATTAAAGGCTCCTGACTTGGGACAGGCACATACAGAATGTGGCGGGGTTAAACTAGTTTGAAGGCGCCAACCCTCCCCATAACCTGGGACAGTACAACATAAGAACAAACTATAAAAATCAGTTGAAAAGGGCTTAACTCATCAGATCGATACAAATCAATCATACTGATCAAATTACCAGTACGTTTATATAGATATGATATGAATAAAAAGGGGCTCTGTGCTACAGAAATTTTACAGTTTTGATTGGAATGTAAAAATTCGAGTTCAAGAGGTATTCGCGTTGTCTTCTGCAACCACCAAATTATGTAAGCTTAGAAGAAATCAACTATAAAGACCTGTGAATTAAATACTAATATCTCACAGCAAACTTATATTATGTTTGAAAAATTTTGGGCGCAGTGATTGGCAAATAACGTATTTGTTTGTTGTTTCTTTTGAAAGAAAAGTCCAATGTTCACTGAACTTAGCTTGAGAACTTTAGAAAGAACAGTTTGATTTTGTGCATGGAGTTCCCTTATTACCATTTTGGACACACTATATCCTGCCAATGATAATTTGCCACTGGTCAGATAAAATTGTGTCAATTATACAGGAAGCCTTTTAATTTAATATGTACAGTTTAAAATCAAAGCATACTCTAATAGTTGATCAACTTCTGCTTACATCAGTTGGGGAATACACGTAAGTTGTAGATCCGTCATATATTCTTTCAGTCATAGTCAGGGGTAGATGCTTTGCTACATCCTAATAATGGGAAGTTGAATAAAAGAAAACTTCAATTATCAAATTTTTCATATATCCTGGTCAACATTTCTTCATCTTAAGTATCAATTTCAAGAAAAAGATGTACATGATGATATGCGCCAGACCCCACATTATGCTTTCGTAATTCAATTAAATTGGGTTTTTTTTGTGATAACCCAAAGAGTCAACGTTGAATCATTGAACAAAATTTAGTCTTTTAGAATTAAAGGAGAGGGTATGATAAAAGGCAAATTATTTGGTCCTCTGAATTCGAAAAGGCAAAAATTATTATAAATCAGTCAAATAACAACCTTTAAATGTTCACAGGACATTAGACTAACTTTCAATCATCAGTATTTATATCTTTATATTTTATTTTACATAGTTACATTAGGGCTATAAATCCTTGCATTTTATGCAAAACTGCAAACACAGCCAAAATAGCTTGCCATTTAGATTAAGATATTAGGGGACGACCATTTGATATTCGAAGGGGGAGGCAGGACGATTTTTTGCAGATTGACTAATGATTTTCATCTGTTGCTATGGGTCAATTACAATACGCTATTGTGTGATGCCTAATCAGATTGATATAACTTATCAACGTATTGTATAAGAATAACACGACAGGTGGCGCATGTGGAGCAGGATCCGCTTACCTTTCCGGAGCACATGAGATCACCCCGGTTTTTGGTGGGTTCGTGTTGAATCTGTCTTTAGTTTTCAATGTTGTGTTTTGTATACTGTTGTTTGTCTTTTGGTCGTTTTTCGTTTTTTGACATGGCTTTGTCAGTTCGTATGAGCTTGATTATCCCTTTCGTATCTGTGTCTCTCTTTTGCTACTCGTGCTTATATTTTTCCGTAGCTTCTACACAGGAAAATTTATTTTCGCTTATGTAAACAATTGTTTCCTGCATTTTGTGTGACAGACTTTCCATTATCATTCTGACTTCTGCAAGTATAATTACGTCTTAACACTGCACAGGACCTCCTGAGTGACTCGGGACATAAAAAGTGCACTCAGGACTCTTTAAAGTCATCGTATATATGCACACAGGACGAATGTATATATTCGTTGCACGCTGTTTATTTTAGTGGTTAATTTTGGTGGATTTTGAAAAATAACTTAAATAGATATTTATTATTTTTTATAAAATAATGAGGGCACGTGTCAGTGATTACACAACTACTCAGTCGTGAATTGCCCAATCAACAAAATTGATTGGATTATTCTTATTGTGTATGAAAACTAGTATCATGTTATCAGAACAGCGTTAAAAAAAAATGAATTACACGATGTTTTAAAGTTGTTTTGGCATTGTTTTATGTAATTTAATTTACTCTATGCTTAGTGAATTTTTACGATTATTGAGAAAAAAATCAAAAGTCCCATTCAATGTACTTTGTACAGTGTATGTGTAATGAGGACAGCTAACTCAATTTTGTTATTGTACGTTCTGCAGTTCATAAACAAAGGAAATAGCAATTAATTTGCTATTGTTTTATAGTTGTCTATTTATCTATTACAAGTTCGTTTTTGTTTTTCTTTGTGAATTTGTTTTTCCCTCTTCAACATCAACTTACAAAAAATTAAAACAACAAATTATAAATTTCATGCGTCCGAAGCGCTTTTTTTTATTTACCTTCATCAGGAACGCTCAAAGCCAAATATTTGAAAGCCAAGGATGTATATTGAAGAGCTATATATAACCAAAAGGACCGAAAAAAAAATAGCCAATCCATCTAACATGTCTAAGTTCAACTTTGCCTGAGGGAGTTGAAAGTTCAAACCCTAGTTTCTTTATAATTTCAAAATTTATAAACGGACAATTTTACAAAGGTTTGTTATAAATAAACAAATACATTGTATACTGTATACCTAGGGACAGATATTATATTTCGAAACTTCAATGTTCAAACTTGAAGTTACCTATAATAGTATTAAGACTGGGAGATGGGCAGGGATTCCGCGAGAAAATAGAATACGTACTTTATGTAATGAGGGAATAGGTGATGAGTTTCATGTATTGTTTACCTGATATTTCTGCTCTTAGATCAAAGTTTATATCATATTATTATGTAATTAATCCAAGCATGAATTTACTGGTCTGCTACATCTATATGTAACGTACAAGTGCAAAAGAAATTATCAATTTTCGTAAATTAATTTCATCAAATGACTTTATGTCTTTCATAACATACTATGTATTTGTGTTTCGTCTGTCCTGTCTCGCTATGTATGTTTTTAATTATATTGTCCTCTTGTACACCTGTATGTGTCTGAGGTTAATATCAATAAAATCTTGAAAAATCTTGAAAATCTTTCTTTTGGTTTGGCTAACGGAAAAGAATAAGTTTTCATGGCGAAATATATTTTTTTTAAATAAAATTTGCATATGAAAGCTGTTTATGAATAATATTTAACCATATGAGGAGTTTAAAGAAATTTAGAAAAAAAGAAAACGCCAAACGACAATGTGTTGTAAATAGATCAATTCAATGATCAAAACGTGTTAATTGTTAAATAAATCTTAATAACAAGAAATTAGAAATAAACATACTAATATTTATGTAAATATATTTCGGTAAATTTTTTTTTTTAATGCATTAGGCGCTTAATGGATACATTATCCGTTATTTTATTTGTATAACTCAAAACAAAATCAATGTTGATAAATAAGGCAATTCCTTCCATGAATGATAATTTTGCTTATATTTTTTCCAGAACAATTAAAATTAAAACGCAATGATACAAGAAAATTGAAATATGAAAATATTCTAGAGCTATATAAGATCAAACGACCTAATCAACCTGATAATATGTATTCAATATAATCATCCGTCATGCATGACATATCCCAGGAAAACGGCGCTTGCCGAGTAAAAACTTTAATAACTGAGTAGATTCAGTAAAATGACAAAATTTGGAAGACTCTCGACTGTTCGATTCCAATATGTCCGATATGTATATAAGTAATATTACGCCGTCAATAAGATATTCGCACAGGAAGTGTTATTTTTTTTATGTTCACTTGAAAAAAAAATCGGCACAATGCTTATCATCTATATTCATAAACAGACCGGAGGATCTAATGAGCCTAAGTCGCTCACCTGGAATCTATGTGCATTTTAAACATTGAAGACAATAAAATAATTCATGACCTCTTTTTTGTTGATTTTGTATTGCCGATATTTGTTTTTCCTATTTTTAGTTTCTCTCTGTCTAATATAGTTTTTCGCACAAAATACAAGATATGGATAAAAATCGTCATTCAAAGGCAATAACTTCATCAAGACGAGAACTAACAATTTTGCCTTTGTTGAAGTACATGTATTTGTAGATTGTTTTGCTGATCAGTTAGAAGATTTTGTCCTGCTGATCATTTTTTCTATGAAAAGTTTCTCTTAAAACCCTGCTTTGTTGTCGACCAACGCACTGATCGGGATTTTTTAGTTCTTAAGATAACAAACAGTCCACAGGAAAATGTGTCACTCTACCCGGACACATTATTCTGACTCCAAGTCGATCAGTCTTTGCTGTTTCTTCCTAATGCAGCGTGCTAAGCGAAGAATCAGCATATACCTATTTTATAGTCTAGTTCGACTCTACCAGGCTTCAAACACTGAGAACCTCGTTCACCGAGGCGAACACACTACCACAGGACCACCCTGGGAACAGTATATCAATATGTCAATATATATATGTTCCTGGACCACTGAGGCGGTTTAAAAGAGGCTTGAATATACCATGATGCATGTCAATAGAAGGACTTAATGACCCATTTTCTATTCACCTTGTAATTGGTAGAAATTCTTTTTGAGACTTAATTTTATTATTGGAAGTTGACCATGAAATATTATATATAACTGCCAAAAAAGTACAGCATTTTAAGACCGATATAAAACCCATAT